CTAAATTATGAAAAACGACGTAATTGAAACAATAGCGTATATCGAACAGGGGTCGTAGTTTAATTAAAAGCCGCATTTTGATTTCGATATTCAACTGGACGGTTTTGCACCCGTATTTCGTTGAAATTGAACTGGTATTTGTTAATGTCCGTCCGCCGGCCAATTTATGGTATACACGGGTAGTTTATAGCAAAAATAGAATTGCGCATTACTTTTTCAAATAAACTACCCGTGTATACCATAAATTGGCCGGCGGACGATTTAGTACAAATTTTTTTGAATTTTTTAAACTAAAACTAGAAGTTAGTAGTAGAGAGACGCAGTGGTAAACCCGAATATTTCTAGTTCTAGTTTTGTTTTAAATATTCACGCCGATGAAAAATTTATGGAAATTATTCGTGTTATAACTAATTATTTTAATTAAATCAGGTGTTCGATTAATTCAATTACACGGTTTCGGTGACAACTATTGTATCAAATTACATTGCAGTTGGGATGAACATTAATCACAGAAATTACAAAGTACATTGTGTATTATGTTAGTTTATTGAGTTGTACAAAATTATCGTTGTAATGTTGATCACGTTTCCATTAAGAATTTCGTCCATAAAACCAATACCCGTCGAAACCTATGAAATCCTGGAACTTTCATTTGGCCGATCGGTACGAGTTGGGACTTCCAAAAAGCTCGACCAAAGTACACGAGTGGGTGACGACAATGTAGAAACTTCAACTCCTTTGGTATTCTTCTCCTTTTTACCCGTGTTCGTGTGGACGACAAGGGCCTACTACCGCATTGTCTCCGCCGGAAGTGTCTTTGCATTATCCGTTACGTGGAAGTGGAGAAATCCGGACAGTTTCGTACAAGTTGCTCGAACAAGTTCGTTTTAGTTCTTCCGGAAGATCTAACTAACACCTGACGACGAGCACATACCATTGTACACTAATGACCCTTAACTACAAACGCTATATGTCACTTTGCCCAAAGTAAGCTTTGATTTTAGAACGAAAATGATATAAAATTGGAAATCTTGATTTAGAGACCAACTTAATATTATTCATAACCTTCTCGCTCCAGAAAGTGTAGTGTTAAATCCAATGATAGCAACAGAACGTTATGAATATGAATTGCTTGTATGAATATGAAGGGAGTTTACAGTATACATTGAGGGATCGTAATATTCAGTTCAATTTTCGTTTCCAAATTTTCCGGCGGGTTAAAATAACACCGAGAGAGCTGTATTATCGAAATAAAGTAGGCGCTCCTCTGTAGACAAAGCTCCAAATCCCAGACCTCGTTTAACCCTACGACCGCTCCACTGCTCCCAGGTGGATCGTGTATTTACAGGTTTCCTAAAGGTAGAGGAGCGAAAATGTTAAGGTTAAAAGCGAACCCTTTGATCAAAGTTTCAACCAAGATAATAGAATATAACACTAAGCTTTGATGAATTTTAGCTGAAAGCAATATCCTTATTGTGGGGTAATTTGTTGTTTTTAGTATTAAATTTAAAAATTAATGATGCAATCCTTCTCAAATCCCATCATAAGAAGAAACCACCATAAGGGTGATAAAGAAAGGTAATACTCAAAGAGTACGGAAGCATTCTGCTCTATCGCTGTAATAGAACACTAATTTATCGATAAAATTCCTGTTGCACCCTCGATAGCGCCTTGTTCCCCAAGTTCCTGTCGAGAACCGACGGCGGCGTCGCCCTTAGGAAGTACCGTAGACGTCCGTGACACCCGCCGCGATTGGCTCTTTATTGATCGGAAAGGGGGAGAAAGAGGGCGTCTCAACGCCGACCGGATATTTCGACGACGCCGATGCCCCCCTGCCCCTTAACTCCATTTATTTTTCGCAGCCCTCGGAATTTCATATTCATTGAATGGGCGAACGGACAGCGATGGGGGCCGATATTGCGTGGCCCCGTGGTCTTCTCCCCCCTTTCCATTTTTTTTTGTAATCGCGAATATTAAAACTGCCCCCCTAAACCGACGCCTGGAAATGGGGTGATCTAAATGACGAATGCATAAAAAAAATCTTTTTTACGCCAAATAAATTAGAAAATTAATTGCAAAACGATTTCTCAGTTAAACCTGGCGTTAAATACGTTTACGCGTAATATCAAACAAAATTAGTTAGATGTTAACAGCCTAAAATGAAAACGCTCGAAGCTGTTGAGCTTTTTTTATTCTTATGTAAGGGTTTCGCGGCAATTTCAGAGCACCTCTGTGCGGCACGGTTGGTCATAAACGTCTGTTTTTATTGATAATAACATCGATTTACACCGTCATTGGTTCGATAATAATCTGCCGCGTTAATAGGGGCATTAAAACGTGTATGTATCTCGATTTATGCGTTCACCTAAATATGTTGCTCTGCGGTGTCGATGGAAACCACGGTAAATGTAAATAAACGTGTCACAAGGAAATTAGCTTATTGAATTTATTACATTACTTATTATTATTATAAACACACTTTATAACATTTCGTTAAGCTGCTTTGAATAAGCAATTTTTCTTCTCTTATTACTATGCATTAAAAGATTTTATGTTCTATAAAAAACTTTACTAAAGCCATTAAAACCATTATATCTTACTAATTTATTTTTTCTACTATAAATACTAATATGTTGTTTTAGTACCTATAATAAATGACTTTATTGCTCTAATACTTAAATAAGTTTGAATTTTTATTAGTGAAGAGAAGGGTGCGAGAAAAGATTATGAGATATATTCTTTAACAAGATTGTGATTCAATTAAGATTAGTTAAGATTAAATAATGCAAAAGAATCAGATCAAGCTAAGGTATTCTTGGAAGAGATTCAGTTCGAGATGAGATTATCTTATGCATAAAATCTGATCGAAAGGAACAACAATCACAAAAATTGTGATTCCTATGAGATTAAAAACATAAGAGACAACTTGGTGAAGTACATATCAGATACCGAGCACAAACCATGATGGCAACCAAGCTTATGAAATTTTGAATTTGCCAAATATGCTTCTAGACCATTTCTAGCAATTTGGACTATTACCAGTGTGATTTCAGGCAATATCTTGTAATTTAGAGACTGACCAGTATAATTCCTGACAATTGCTTACACTTTAGTGTTTGGCCAGTGTAATTCCAAACAATTTCTTGCAATTTAGGGTTTCAAAAGAGTGCTTCTAGACAATTTCCAACAATTTGGGCTGTCGCTAATGCGATTTCAAGCAATATTTAACAACTTACAGTTTGTCCAATGTGAATTCTAAACCTCATGGTATAGTTGAGATGTTAGCGCCATCAGCTGGAAACCCCAAAAAGTACGGAGATAAGACCGTCCAAGATACATGAAAGAGAAACTTTTTCTCTCTAGCTTCTTCCTCAACATGAAGAAGCAATGAAAGTCAGGAAAACGCGGAGAGAATTGTAACGCTTTGTTGCCTAACGGACAAGATGAAGAGTCTTTACTGTTGCCCTATGCTTCACCAGGAGTGACAAAAATAAGTCAATGAGTCCTGACAACTTTTCTTGCAATTTAGAATTTAGCCAAGAAAACTTCTTCCAATTTAGACTATGTCAGTGTGATTTCAAACAATATCTGGGAATTTAGAATTTGGCAAATGTTATTCCAAACATTTCATGCAGTTTTGTGTGTTCCAGTGTAATTTTTACAATTTAGAGTTTAGTAAGACTGTTTCTAGACCATTTGAAATTTGAATTGGTTTGTGTCAGTATGATTTCAAGTAATATCTTTGATGGCTGTACAATTAATATCGTATAATCCAAAACTTTACAAACATTTCAAAATTGTAGAGAACATTAATACTAGAATAATGAAACGAAAATAATTTCTACACAACATCAGTTTATGAAGAGCTATTTATTGTAATTAAATGGTTGTTGAAGAAAACATACAATTAGCATGTAATATATTTACCTTTTTATTCGAAAGTACCTATATAATTATCTGTCACCGACATTATACCACCTTCATTACAAACACGAAACTCCACAAAAAAATATGAAAATATGCTTTCTCTTATAAACAGATTAAATATTGATAATAAAATGAAGGTTGTAACCATAAAGGACAGTCATAAAAATAAAACGAATGCTACTGATTATAAATTATGCAACCTAACGTTTCCCTTAATGGCATAGTTTCAATAACACAAACATTAAAATGAAGTTTTTTATCTTACAGGTAGGTAGTTATAGAATACTTTTATGTATAATATATTAAAATCGAATGAGCTGTATTCAAGTCACAGATAAACTGCTGGAAATACTTGGGATCGATATGGAACTGATGACAAATATCTTCAAGGATATCGTAAACTAAGAGGTGCCTAACATCAACTTTAAATTTTAAAAACAAATTTCTTAAAAATCAAATTCAACAAAACTTTTTTTTTTGGATCAGTTACCATTTCAACCATCAAGGAGCAAAATGAGTTAACTCAAGAGATAACTTCAAAAACCTTAAAAACTTTTCTTATCTGTATCAAATATAAGTTTGATTATTTACAATTGACATTTCGAAGTTCTCTAACATAAACATGCAGTGCATGTAAGTACGAAGGCTTTCACGACCGGTGTTAATTAAACTAAAACTAGAACTAACACGTTTCGGATGACATGTTGCAACCTTCTTCAGAAACAAGTTCGAAGTGTTTCTAAACGTTAAACATTTTTTTAAAAAACGCACAGCTTAATCCGAAAATTTCTAGTTCTAGGTCTAGTGTTAGTTACAGTGATAGTGCTAGTGTTAGTTTTAGTTTGAATACAGTGCATAAATACAACATAAAGTTTCAATTATCTCCTTTAAACAGACGCATACTGAATTTGAACACATATTTGGCGTACACACGATAAACTTTTAATAGTTAATATCTAGCCGCACAAAAGTAAACGCTTGCATATTTCAGTTCGAAACTCGGATAACTCGCTAGGGGACAGTCTTATGTATTTAGCTATAGTATACGATAAATGATTCAATTTAATACTTACAGTGCTTGCTCTTCTCGGCTGTGGAGAGATTGGGTAATGTAACTAGTAGACAACTTAAAAGCACGTAAGCCCCGAAAGGGGGCCCGGGGCCCCCGTTCCTCAAAATCATCGTTATTTCACTTTGGACAACATCGTTTTTCTACGTGAGGCGCATAGAATTTATGCTCGGGTTAGTCTATTTTTAACCGGACGCGATGCATTTCGCGGGAAACTCACTGGAAATGTTGGCACGAAAGCGCGTTTCCGGTTTTGGCGTTCGTTCGGTGTGCGAATCGTCGATTTCAAGCGTTTTTTTCGACGTGGAACGGCATGAAAGTGACCCGAACCGGAGCCCGATATGTTGGCTTGTATTCACGAATCACTAGTTTGTGATTTTACACGCTCCGTGCCGCGCAGGACTGTAGTAAAATCGATGGCGTCGTCCTGGCTTTCAGGACGACGCCTATCGCAACGCCACCTGCGGGAGTCGCCGAAAGTCGAATACGAGGATTGTTTACTACAAATCGAACTCTCTATAACGGTCGTTAACAATTAGATACGGATATGGAAAAGGATGGATAGCGGCGACATTCAGCAAATACATGAATGAAACTTTTAATGATCAACAAATTTTTGAACAACTTTTTTTAACTTCAAAATATTTCGTTTCCACCACAGGTTATTCTCAACATTAATAATTGTCAGCTCCATGTATATGTAATGTAAAAAGAAACTTTAATCTTTTTGCACACTCATGCACAAGCAATATCAACTTCACTGCCTTGGTATGTAAATAATCACTGCGGTGGTAGCCTTGCATTATAAATAATATTCTTCACTATCTCTGATACAATACAGCATCGGATTTTAAGTTATCATTTATATAAAGTTTATGCCTCGACAGCACAGCTGCCTCGGCTCTTAAACAATATATAAGCAAGACACGCAAACATCTAGTTTCAATTGAGACATTTAATTTCCAGAGATGGTAACATTCGTTAGCCACCGCGTTCGCTCAGCCCACCTTCTGTAGCTTCTTGTCGCCACCTTCTTCTTATGGCAGTAACTGAAGTCCAAAGTGTATGTATGATAAATGCCAAGAAATCTGGATATCATACATAAGATGAAGATGACGTAGAACAACGTTATTCTGATTAAAACTAAGATTGAAATGCATTTTATCAATATGCATCAAAGTAGTTCAGGTTGTCTAAAATTGTCTCCTTATCACCAAATTGTGTTATTAAATTACCATGGAATACAATGAAATTTATATAGAATTTTTTCGAAAATTTCGCTCAATCATAAAAATGCAGAGAAAAATTTCGCTTAAAATATCAATTCAGTCTCGAACATGTTCTACCTAAACTATTCATCTATTCTTTTGTTCTAGACTGTCTTGATATCCAATTATCATTCCTTTATTTCGCTATTTATTAAATTCAATAGAATAGTTTATAAAAATTGCCTATTGATAAAGTGATTGCCCGATAACGGATTTGGTAACGAATATGACGATATTCACATTTTTGCAAAAAATCAGATCATTTGATCATATCTAAAAACCAACATAAATTATATTATGCATAATATAAATTGTGCATGTCAATCAAAATTACTTCGAAGATGTTTAGATAAATTCAAAATTTTGTCTAAATTGTTATCATTGAGATGACGTAAACATTTAAAATAAGCTAAAATTATTTCGCAAAATTTTTCTGTAACTTGAGTTTTGTTATGACAATAACGTAATTTATGAAAGTATTTGGCAAAAAATAAATTATGGTAGTTCGATAAGGGCTAAAACTCATGTAACCAGTATGGGTCTCGAATACCAAACGCACCTGTCGCAACAAACAGGTGTAAGTACGAGGTATCGCGAGACCAACAACCGGTGATTATCAATTTTATTAAAACGCCTTTAAAAACTCCTCCAATATCTTATCAATAATATAGATTTTGGCGTAGATAGCGTTTTGTCGTTATTCAATAGAGGTTAGATCTCCAATCTTTAACAAATATCGATAACATACTCAAACACAAACGAATTAGTTGAACCACGTTTTCTTCTAAATTTTCAAAAGCCGAACTTTTCTCAACATCCATTATCGACAGCACGTCCAGTTTTGTCCCACCTGAACGAATGATCGAAGAAAATAAATACAACGGCAACTTTTTCTATCGTGAACTGACGAATGGGGTATCACCGGATATCGGCAAAACTTTGCGGAAACTTTTTTGATAAAATGCACGAGACGCCACTCTTAGCGCACAAACTTTAGAAAGTTGCAACCGAATTTTCAATCCGTGACCATCGAAATGCATTTAGGATATGTTGCGAACCGAAGTGGATTTGAATGTCTGGTAAAGTTGTGAATTTTACCTGCAATCTCAAATACACGTAAAGTCATTTATTCATACTTCCAATTTAACTTTAACATGATGATAAGTTCTTTCCCCGTTAAATTACATTTATGAAATATAGCTCTAAAGCATTTACAACCAAATCAATTACCCACCGTGTAAAAATAAACGTGTAATGTTACATCAATACCGTTACCATGGGAATTAATAATTTAAGGTTGGGTTAAGGGTTGTATTGTCGCAAGGGTTCGTCGTCTAAAATGGCCAAGAAAGGCCAGGTTCAACTACAAGTTGAAGTCGCAAATGACGACGACTGGGCTAAATTATTAGAGAGAGAAGGGCTAATATGTAAGTTAAGATAATTTGTTTATTACAATTATTAATTTGACGTTTTAGTTGTCGATGTATATACGGAGTGGTGCGGGCCATGTTCTGCAATGGCTGGAAATTTAAAGAAGATCAAATTAGAAGTGGGTGGGGATAATCTACATTTGGCTGTGGTAATAAATTGTTAATAATTTATTTCTTACTTAAATCTGATAAAAAAAAGTACAACAAAATAGAAATTATTTCAGAATTTCAATACTTTTTAATATCGTTGTTATTGCTCTTTTAGGCTAAATGCAACAACATAACGGATTTGGCAAGATTTAGCTCTAAAAGTGAACCAACATGGATGTTCATATCCGGAGGTAAACTGGTCAATTTAGTATTCGGAATAAATTCCCCGAGCTTACAAAGATTGCTTCTGGAGGAATTGAAAAATGAACAAGCTGTAAGAGAAGGGACTTTGCATAGAGAAGGTGTTGATATAACCACTCTTTCACCACAAGAACAAGCCGAAATCGACCTGAAAAATGAAAAGAAAAAAAGAAAAGAGGAAAAAGAAAATGCTGCTAAAATAAAGGCACGAGCAGAAAGACTGCAAGTAATCACAGATGCTGTTGCGCAAATTCCACAGCAACGTTTTGGGTTCTTTTTTATACATCCTTACGCTCATGACAGAATGGATCTTGTGAAAGATACAATATGGACTGTACATAAACAGGCAAATTCCGAAAAGATTGACTTGACTACTATTAACTTAGACGATTTGTTGTATTATTCGGATTATCGATTCCCACCGGAAGTTTTAGAACAAGCGGCAACCGCTAAATGTACAGCTTATGTAGTTAAAAATGATGATCCCGATGTTGATATGGACGAAGAACTGGCACAACTCGTATATGGAGAATCGAAAGTACCTCCTGGCGACCCTGACTCCTTGGGGGATCGTTTACTAACTCCTTACACCCCACCAGAACTTACTGCAGACCAAAAAATGGATCAAATGCAAAAGGCAGCAAGTGCAGTAAAAGCAGAAACAGTACCAGAAGAACAACAGGAAGAACAGCCACAACAAACAGAACCAGCTGCCCCCGAAGAAAAGGAACAAGTTATGATGGAAGGTATTTGGATACCATCTAACGAAAGAACTCGACATATGGCTATGTATTTGTTCTTTCCGGCTATGGCCAGTGCTCACGTCCCACCAGAACCTGAACCTGAACCACCACACATTGCTGTGGTCTATGATACTTGGAAACAAAATGATATATTATGCGCTATGGAAGACTATCCAAACGAAGTAATGCATCTGGGATTCTTTACTGATGAAGACCCAGATGTTGCTACGTTGATTTGTAAGACACCAGCAGCTTATGCGCGGAGAAGAGCCGATCAGTAATTATAGTTAATTTTTTTTGGTAATTTAGAAACATTCGTTTTCTTTTTAATTCATTACGCGGTTATGCCAAAATTACCTACACCATCCTTAAACATCCTATTTTCATTTATTTAGACCAGGAAAACTAGTAATACAATTATCTAAGAAACACAGTACAACTGTGTATGCATTTGGTCAAATCGGACCGACATATATGAGTATAGATGAGGAAGTTGGTGAAGAAGATTGCGAAAAATTCTTTCCAGAGGGTTACGGTGATGATGAAGATACTAGTAAATTCGTTGCGTTACATGTACCGAAAGCCGAAGACTATGGATTTGTCGAAGGTTTAGCTGCAGGAGATGATCACGAGCACTTTGTACATGAAGAACTCGAAGACGAAGAAGTCCAAGATGAAGACGACGGACAATATGAAGAGGAGGAAGAAGAAGAAGGAGATGTGCAACCACCCGAAGTAGTTTCTTAACCACTATTACTGCTTTCATTACATGTACCTACCTAACCATTTCCTCTCAATATATGTGTGTAGTATGTGTTGTACCATCCTTTTTTATTTATTATTATTATATTATTCATAATAATATTTACAAACTATTTAATTTGATACTTCATTTTAAAGCAGCAACATTTTGGATATTCTTGGAGACAAACTCGTTCTTCAACTCTCCAAAAAGCGAAAGGACGTCGTAGAAAGATTTGTTGAATTAGGACCGACTTATATGAGTCCCGACTTTGTAACGGGAGCCGAAGAATGCAAGAAATTTTTCCCGGATGGTTACGATTGTAAAGATAGCGACCAAAACGAGAAAAAAGTTAAATCCAAATCGTCAAAGAAAAAGAAGAAAACAACTTTACCCGCTACCGATGAAACAGCCGTATCAATCATTGAAGAAGGCGAAATTGATAGTGCGGTAGCTGGTGAGGATGAGGACTTAGGGGATGAAGATGGCGGTGAAGAAGGTGACGATGTTGATGAAGAAGATGGGGGAGATGATGAGGAAGAAGGTTGTAGGGATGTTGATAAAGCTACTTCTCCTATATGTCCTAGTTCTTTGTGTTAACCACATATGATTTAATTTAGGTACATGTTATTTATGAAATGTTGTTAACAAATCTTGTTTTAGAGGATTTTGTTCCTCGTAGTGCATAGTTGGAAACTTTATGAGTAGCACTTTAACTAAGCCTTGGAGTTATACTTTAGCTTGCTTTGTTATAACGGTAATTTCTTTGTGATTAAGTTGCTTTAGAATTGGGCTATTTACTTAAATGAGGAGAAAAATTAAAAATCATTAAAACATAAAAATGACCTTGTTTTGTGAAACAAATAATAAATATCTATGAACGAAAACATGTTTATTATCTATATTACTAAGTAATAAAACTGTTTTATGGTACAAAGATTTTTTTTTGGGCTTATTTTATTATATTTTCATTTTACTATCAAAAAACATAAATTATCGCCAGATTATTTTAGGATTACATAGATCGCGTTTTATCGAACTGTCCGCACCTGCTTTTTTATTTGATATGTGGAATTGGCTGGTGACTGTGTTAGTTCTGGTTCTTGTGTTGTTATGTTATTACCAATGGAAATCGGAGTATTGGAAGAGAAAAAACATTCATTACGAAAAACCTCAAATTTTCGTAGGAAACTTAGGTGATGTGGTATTAGGCAAAAAAAGTTTATCAGATACCTACACTGCAATATACAAGTATACACAAGAAATTTCAATACAACAGAATCCAAATACTTATAAAAACTTTTTTAGTAAACACGAGGATCTAAAATATTGCGGTATAATGAATTTTGGATCGCCAGCAATCTTATTGAGAGATCCAGAATTAATACAAAACATCATTTCGAAGGAGCATGATAAATATCATACTTGCTGTAACGAAGAAAATAATTTAGCTAAAGATAAACGTTGGAAAAGAACGAAAGCTAAAATAAGTCCTCAATTGACACCTTTAAAAGTTAAGAGCATGTTTAATTTGCTTGAAGAAATCGTAAATAAATTAGTAAAATATATCAATTATCATCCAGAAGCGGATCAATTTGGGGTTGATCCAAAAGAATTAACCGTTAAATATGCCTCCGATATTATCGGAACTTGCATTCTCGGTCTTGAATCTAACAATAACGATCAATTGGGACTCGAAATATTCGATTACAACTCTTTTTGTATAATTTTAAACGTTATATCTCTTTTATTTCCCGGATTATACAAAATTAAACCACCAAAGTACGTCGAGTCATAAAGAAATAACTGATTAATCTTATAAACGTATTGTTACAGAACTTTATCGGAAAGACTTACCGCTAATTTTAAAGAACGTATCATTTCGGCGATAAAATCCAGGGAAGAAAATAATATTAAAAAACACGATTTTTTAGGTGCTATTGTTGAATTAAAAATTTTAGCAAAAAATTTTGGTAATAAATATATAACAAATAAACATCTTTATTGTTAGTGCTTAAACAGATTTTAGCGTGGAAGATTTAGCTTTTAAAACATTAGGATTTTTCTTAGAAGGATTCGAAACGAGCGTTATAACTCTTCAACACGTTCTATATGAATTAGCTTTAAACAAAAATATCCAAGAAAAATTATTAGGACAATTCGAAGTAATGCTATTGAGGAACGCTACGTTAACATATGAATCATTAAAAGAAGTGAGATATTTAGATATGGTTATTTATGGTATTTATTTAACAACTTTATTAATTCATTAAAAAATAAATTTTTTTCTAGAGACGCTAAGAAAACATCCTCCAGCTCCTTTTTTAGCTAAAGAATGTGATGATTTGATTTTGCCCCCATCTAAACCAGGTTCAATAGAATTAGAGGTACCAAAAGGTACAAAAATTTTAATTCCCATCATATCGCTTCACAATGATCCCTTCTACTTTGAGGAACCCGATAAATTCATTCCGGAGCGGTTTAACGAGGATTTAAATTATCTCCGATGTAAAAAAGCTTTTGTTGGATTTGGTGATGGACCTCGTTTCTGCTTAGGTAAATAAACGGTGATTCACAATCACTTGGTATCTTAATACTTTTACTTCTAGGTCATCGATTTGCTTTAACCCAATTAAAAATTGCTGTGTACGCGTTAGTTACCAATTTTGAGTTGGAATTAGGAGAACCGATCCATAAAACGGCGTTATTAGAACCCATTCGCTTTGTGTATGAAATAAAATCGAATTCGCGATTAAAGTTTATAAATAGAACGAAAAATAAAAATTATGGTAATTGAGTGTTTGGTTTTATTAATATCCTTTATTCTCGGTCGCAAAATTTCTGTGGGATGTAGTCAAGATTGGAAGTCTGCAACAAACAATGGATTTTATATTGCCCCCGGGATGTGTTTATTCATCTTCTGCGGAAGTAGGAATGAATAGAAACACTCGCCAATAATACATTTAAATACGATTCATAAATAAAATATCATTGTTTATTCAATGGTATAATAAAAGACAGAAAACAAAAACATTAAATTAATATAATATTTTACACATTCAATCAATATCATTTATTCAATAAGATTTTTATTTGAGTTATCATGCTAACGTGTTTCCAATTCAACTTGAGTGTGAATGGTATAGGTTTGGTTGTAAATCAGATGAGTTGTGTTTGGTTTGCTTTCTGAGTATAGGAGGAATGACTTCAATAAATTAACTTAAGTGGTTTGGGTTGGGATTAGTTTGGATGTGATTAGGCTAGGTTTGACTTAGTTGTGGAAATACTGCTTGCAAAAAACTACCGGCAGCTGGCAGAAGGTTATACTTGTCATAGAAACTATATGTATATTGCTAATGAAAGACTAGATACTTACAGATGACTCTACACTGCTGGTAAAAGACTAGATATTGATGGTAGGGGCAATATATTGGTAATAGAAAACTAGGTGCTGCCTGCAAAAGACTTGATAATGCATGCAGAAGACTAGATAGTGCTTGCAGAAGACTTGTTAATGTTGTCAGGGAACTAGATACTTACAGATGACTGCATACTACCGATAAAAGACTATATACTGCTAATGGAAAACTAGATACTGCCTGTAAAAGACTTGATAAGGCTTGCAGAAGACTAGATACTGCTTATAGAAGACTATATACTGCTGGAAGAAGATTAGATACTATTAATAAAATACTATACACTGTTATTAGAAGACTTATTATTGTTTGCAGAAAACTTAAAATATATACAACAAACTGAAGACTAGATATTATTATTACATTGTTGCATTCTTACACTGTAAAGTCATTTTTAGATAACAAATTTATATATATATTTAATACAAAACAACATTTTTTTGTTTATAGATTTAACCTTGAGCGCTTCCTAATCCCACATACATATAATGGGTCAGAGAGGTTCAATAAGCTTAGTCCAAAAATAAACCTGTGAGCGTAACGTCGCATTCACAAACAGCTTTCTAAAATGTATTACACCACGCTAACGGGAATTTTGACTTTAATATTATTATTTGTGTTGTATCTTAAAAGGCGAAATGATTATTGGAAAAATCGGAAAGTTCCATTTGAAAAAGCAAATCTTTTAGTGGGAAATATGTGGGAAACTATATCTATCAGTAAAAACGCCGCTGATGTTTACGACTATGTATACAAGTAAGTGAACATTTACGAAGTATGATGAAGTTTGTTTATTTATATTCTTAGAAAATTTGATGATGCTAAGTATGTTGGTGTTATGAATTTTGGAATACCTACTTTATTGGTGAAAGACCCCGAAATTTATGAACGAATATTAATAAGAGATTTCTCAAAATTTCATGATAATGGAATTTATCTCGATGAGAAGAGAGATCCCATATTATCAAAGAACCCATTTTTTGCCAAAGGAGAAAATTGGAAACTATTGCGAAATCAACTTACACCGCAACTTAGCCCGCTTAAGGTATATTTATAAAGTTTAGTAAATCAATCAAAGATAACGACATTTATTTAAGATTAAAAATATGTTCCCACTGATGATTGATGTAAAAGATAGACTTGTAAAGTATCTAAGAGAAAACGCGAATGCTCAAGAAAAGGAAGGCCTCGATGCAAAACTTCTATCTTTAAAATATGCGAATGAAATGGTAGCTAGTTGTGCTTTTGGTCTACATGGAAATTGTTTCAATGATGATAAATGTGAAATTATGCAATTAGCCAATGATCTTTTTAACTTCAAGCCTGCAGATTTTATCATATTTATCTTTGCGACAATGTTCCCAATAATAAATAAATTTCGAGCTCCACAGTATAAAAATTAAACGACATGATTGAAGTCAACAACTAAACGATACAATTTTAGATTTTTAAGTTCGGAGATAGCACAACGATTTAAAAATATTATAGTATCCACCATAAAAGAAAGAAACGACATGAATATACGAAGAGGAGACTTTTTAGATGCCATTCTTGAATTGCGAAAAAAAACTACATCATTTGGTAAGTTTTTTAACACTTTATGAAACAAATATATTATTTAGAATTTATTTAGAGTACACTGAAGATCACATGACTGCTCATGCCACATCGTTCTTCATTGATGGATCAGCTACCACATCTGGTGCTCTAACTTACATTTTATACGAACTAGCAAGAAATAAAGACGTCCAGGAGAAATTGAGAAATGAATTTAAGACGGTTTTAGAAGAAAATGATAATCAAATGACTTTTGATGCATTAAATGAAATTGAGTACTTAGAAATGATTTTACACGGTAATACTTGATTGATTTAAGTTTTAAGATGTTTTTCTATTATTTTTGTTATTGTAGAAAGTCTAAGGATGCATGCACCACAATTATACTTGGTTAAAGAGTGTACTGAAACAACTACCTTACCTCCAGCTTTACCTGGTGCTCCCGAAGTCGTCATTGAAAAAGGAACTAATATTACAATACCAGTTTATTCTTTGCATAAGGATGCCAAATATTTTGAAAATCCCGAGGAATTTATTCCAGAAAGATTTTTACCAGAAGCGGTTTCATCTCGACCTAAAGCAACTTATATGGCATTTGGTGATGGTCCTAGAGTTTGTATAGGTAATTTTGAATATTATATAAATATATATGTATAAAAAGTATATCCAGCGTTAGGTCTAGTTAGTTTTAGTGCACTAAAAATGTGCAACAACCTGGCGCTGAATAATAACTAAAATTAGAACTGACACTAGCACTATCATTAGAACTAATATTAGAACTAGAAACAGTCGGGATTTGCCGTCTTGATGATGACGGAGGAGTGTTTTCAAATTGAAGCGCGAAAAAGAGGGTTACTATAGTTCTTCTGTTAGTTCTAGTGATAGTGTAAAACTAGAACTAACACTAGACCTAGAACTAGAAAGTTTCGGGTTTAGCCGTGCGTCTTCACTATTAGTTCTAGTTTTAGTTCAATAAAAATATCACAACATAGTAATATCTTATGCTAACTAGCGTAACTTACAACTGCCATTAGAACTAACACTAGACCAAGAACTAGAAACATTCGGATTTAGCCGCACGTCTTTCAAGACGGCTAAACCCAAATAATTCTAGTTCTAGGTCTTGTGTTAGTTCTAGTGATAGTGCTAATGTAAAACTAAAACTAACACTAGGCCGAGAACTAGAAACATTCGGATTTTGCCGCACGTCTCTCAAGACGGCTAAACCCGAATGATTCTAGTTCTAGTGTTAGTTCTAGTGATAGTGCTAGTGTAAAACTAGAACTAACACTAGGCCGAGAATTAAAAACATTCTAGTTCCAGGTCTAGTGTTAGTTTTAGTTGTAGTTCAATAAAAATATGTAACAACGTGCGCATTTATTTTAGGACGGCGATTTGCTTCGGCGGTAATAAAGGTTGCTACATTTGGCATTGTAATGAACTTTAACATTGAAGTTAATGATAAGACTCCACAAAAATTAGAGCTGGATTCATTACCATTTCTATATGCAACCAAAGGAGGAATATGGTTAAACTTTCACCCAATAGATTAATATTTAAAACATTGTGGTCGAATTGTATAAAACTTGATTCATATCTTATTTGATAATTATATTTACAATTTTTAAGAATAAATATTTAATGTTATCATTTTTGTTTGTTATTTAACCTTGGAGTCCTTTTAAACTGATTAAAAATTAATCTAATTGAGTTTATATATGTAATAAAAATAATTTAACATTTTAGTTGGAGCAGGGATTTCGTGAAATGTATACTACATTGGTAGGATTATTTACGTTATTGTTGATTTTCTTTTTATACTTAAAAAAAAGAAATGAATACTGGAAAAATAGGAAAGTGCCATATAGGAAGGCCAATTTATTAGTTGGGAATATGTGGGAATCTTTATTGGCTCGAAAAAATGTTTGTGAGGTTTACGATGATTTATACAAGTAAGAATAAGATTTAATTAGATTTAAAATTAACCCTTTACGAACTATAGAGAATTCGATAACGCCAAATATTGTGGGGTTATGAACATTGGTACGCCGACTTTAATGGTTAAAGAGCCGGAGTTACTCGAAAGAATATTAATAAAAGATTTTTCAAAGTTTCACGATAATGGAGTTGTCGTAGATGAAAAGAAAGATGCGATTCTTTCAAAAAATCCATTCGTGGCTAAAGGAGAAACATGGAAAAATTTGCGCAATCAGCTTACACCGCAATTTAGCCCGTTAAAGGTTTAAACATATCTCTTAAAACCAAAAAAAAGATTTCTTATCCTATTTGCGTTTTAAGATCAAAAACATGTATCCATTAATGGTCGAAGTAAAGAACCGATTACTTAACTATATTAAAGAAGAACCGAATTCTCAAAAAGGAGATGGTTTAGATGCAAAAGATCTAACTTTAAGATACACCAACGAAATAGTTGCTAGTTGCGGTTTTGGATTATATGGAAATTGTTTCAATACTGGAAAATCTGAAATTGTTGAACTAAGTAAAGGGATATTTATAACAAACACATTTAGCATAATCACTTCAATACTAACATTTATGTTTCCAATTATATTAAAAGTCTATATTCCCCGGTAATAAAATAAATAATCAATATGTATTTTATAACCAAATCTTTTTAGTGCTTTATCCTCAAAAGTTATGAATAAATTTAAAGAAATGATTTTGACAACTATGAAAGAGAGGAAAGAAAAGAATATAAGAAGGGGAGACTTTTTGGATGGGATAATGGAGATAAAAGAGAAAAGTAAATCGTTTGGTCGGTACAGGAATCCAAAAAAAAAAGCAATTTTTATTAACGAGATTAATTTTTAGAATACACTGAAGATCATATGACTGCTCATTCCACATCTTTCTTTATTGATGGTACATTAACAACAGCTGGTGTTTTAGAATACGTTTTATACGAATTAGCTAGAAATAAAGGTGCCCAAGATAAACTAAGACAAGTCTTAACAGAAAGTTTAGAACAAAATAATGGTGAAATGACCCACGATGTTTTACAAGGAATTGAATATCTAAACATGATTTTAAATGGTATTCATATAAACCAAAAAATCAGTAACAATTTTAATTTAGTTTAATTATTAAGTGACAATGTTTTAGAATCACTAAGAATGCATTCACCTGTTTTGTTTTTATTAAAAACATGTACCAAAACCACAATTTTACCACCACCAATTGATGGTTACCCCGAAGTGACAATAGAAAAAGGAACAAACATTACAATACCAGTTTACTCAATACATAAAGACCCTAAATATTTTGAAAACCCAAATGAATTTATCCCAGAACGATTTTCAATAGAAGCTAAATCATCAATCCCTAAAATTAGTTATTTAGCCTTTGGGGAAGGTCCTCGAATTTGTTTAGGTAATTCATTTCTACTTAAAATTACATTAATTTAATTAAATGTTTTAAAATTAGGACGACGATTTAGTATCGTTGCATTAAAAGTTGCCCTATATGGAATAATAACCAACTTTAAAATTGAAGTGTCTGAAAAAACACCAAAAAAGCTCGAATTAGACCCAATTCAATTTATGTACACAACAAAAGGAGGTATATGGTTAAATTTCCGCCCAATCAATTAAAACATTTTACGTTATTTTCGTTTTATTTGTAACAATAAAATTATATCAACTTAGTTAACATACAAATATATACATCTATAAAACTTAAATTATTTACTTATTACATCCCTTTACATAAAGCGAATATTAAACCTTATAAACCGTCCGTTAATCACCATTTTAATCACAAATCATTTCCTAAACCATGTTCAATAATAACCTTATTATTGCATACTTGAAGCCATTGTAATAATACTAGACGTTGATGGCAATAAATCATTACAAGAAATTGGAGCTAAAGCCATTTGTTTACTATCAATTCGTTCGATATTTTGTGTGACCCTCTCTACGTTGTGCAAAGGTATCGTTTGTAATTGATGGAGAGTTCCATTCGAAGTTCTTTCTATGTGTTGAGAAGGCTGAGTTCCTAAACTACGATATTTGCAACTCGTTATAAGATGTCTACGTAAATTTCTTGCTTGCCTTAACATTGCACCACACAAAGGGCAAGAACCTTTTCAAAAGGAAACAAAATACTTTTAAAAAATTATTTATTTATTTAAAAATAAGTTTGTTTTAAAACAAACCTGGCTGATCGGAAGCACCTCGAATTTTAGGTGGAGTTGTACCCGATGTATTATTATTTATCGATACCGGTATATTTTGTACAAGAATAGGAGTTTGAATTGGTAAACTTGTAATAGGAGAAGTTGCTGTTGTTACATTGACTAGATTCATTTGTTGAGACCAAGAAGGAGCTGGAAATAAGTCTTATTAAAAAAAACTTTTTTACAACACATAAAATCTTACACAAATTATCTTCATTATTAACTAAAACATTGTTTCCATCTGTTTGGACGTAAACTTTCGACCATTTCGCTGTTTGAGTTTGTAAAGAAGGACTTCTAGGTCTTTTAGCTCGTTTTTTTCTTCTCAAAACGTTCTCATCTTCCTGACTACTTTGAGTTGCTTGAGACTGAGTCAATTCTTGGGTTTTCTATAATGAAAAAAATGTTGATTTATAATTATATGTATAGTATATACATTTAAATCATTTATTAATTACATTTGGTGTAGTTTTTAAGCTATTTACACTTTCTGATTGAGCAGGAGATAATCCTTGTATATTTAAACAATGAGCTGCTTGTAGCAATGATGGTAATTGACTAGAATCCACGCTGACTTCACCTCGATACACAAATTCCAAAAGTGCTTCTAAATCGGAAGCTTGAACCCCGGCTAACATCACTACAGGATGTTTACAAGATGTGCTCTAAGAAATTTTTGTTAATTTAATTATATTTTAAAGAACGGATATACTTACTTTGAGTAGATCCAAAAGAAATGGACTGGCAGCACATAAAACAACTTTGTGTGCATGAAAAGTTCTACCACCAGCAGCCAAAGTTACATCAACCAATTCGTCTTGACAGCGAAGAAGTTGCACTGCAGAGATCAAAGATGTTCCATACTCACCCCAAGTTAAGTTATATAAAGGATTTGAGGCCATCTTCGAATGAGTTTATTACTTAAATGGGGTAATTGTTTGAACTTTCTCTGGACTAAATATAACCTTTACTTTTACTTCTATTTGGCACTATTACATAAATCACTTTTTAACAAGACACCAATTCCAACTTTGTTTTTATAAAAGTACGATATACGATACGATTATTAAACAATTTATTCCAATAATAATATTTAAATCAATTTAAATTTTCCTCAGATTTTTAGGTTATGGTTGGTTATGATTATGAGTTGTGAATTACAGGAAACTAATCTGGAAAATGAATTATAATTTAATTAAATTACTTTTAGATATTATTAATTTTAAAATAACAATCAACCACATTATAAATTTTTTATATTTTCATTTTTAATTAAAACGGTTTGTTAAAATTTTATTATTTACAGAAATCTGTAAACCAAATCCTTAAATCTTAAAAGATTAAATGTCACTAAGTTTAAATAATTTTAATTTAAATTAATTTTATTTTATACTACTATTATATTCTTTTCATGTTTTTAATTGTTAATTATTTATTTATATGTTAATTGGGTTGCAACATAATCGCATAACTTAGAGGTTCCCCAAATTTAGTATTTATTTTTTTTTAAATTGGTACTTTGAAATTGACATCACTATCACAAACAAATCATTTGAGGTTATGTCGTTTTTATTTTCAAGATTTATTAATATTTTCCAATGAAAATGAGTGGGAAACAAGATAAATCGACCGTAGACAAGATAGACATGAGGCATAAAACCATAACAAGCATAAACAGTTATACTTTTGTTGGAAGTGAAGGTCATTTATTTGTACTTTAACGATGTTATTCTTTATTTATCTTTCTACATGTTTCGAGGAACTAGTCCTCATCTTCAGGAAGAAATCGTCGAATGCATGAATATAATGTTACCATAATTAAAATCTGTTGGTTGTTTTATGTGATAGGTACTGATTATTAAATATTATTTTCAATTTAGAATGACAAGTAATGAAACAAATTAAAATGACATCATTGGAAACCAGCTTCCACTATATTTATGGAAGCTGGCTTCATTAGAAGACAATAGGAGTCTCATCAAGTTACAAAAACATAATTTAATGTACCTTATGGTTATAAGATTATTGAAAATGAAAGACAAGTTTTTATACTAAAATGAAAATTAAGCTGTAAAGTGTTATAACAACATTTATACCTCTTGGATTAGCTTGTATTACAAATAGTAAAATTATTTGGAATAAGATCAATCAGATTTGTTCAAGAATATACTGACATCACAATGAGGGAATTCATTTAATACAGTTCAATTTGTATTGTTAATTTATCTGGTAGATTTCATTGTATTGACATGGTGTGATAATTATTGTTAGTCCAATTCATCAGCAATCTTGTTGTTGTAGTTATCACATGCCATTGATCTTTTATTATACTTGACATTAGTGTATCTTAGATTCACGACACGCGATTTTTCCCTGTCTGTTACAGTGATTGAATTGAAAAAATTTATTAGGTTGTGTTTTTTTTTTGGTTAAATCTGGCTAATTAATTGGAAGTTTTAGTTTCAGTTTTAATATAATGGAAAGAGAAACACAAATAGCATACATTAATCATTCAGATCTAAATCTTCATATTTTAAAACATGGTGTTAATTTCGAAGTAAATGTTGCTTTCGTGTACTGGCGTGTTTTGTAGAATACTTTTTGCCGCATTTTAATTATTTTAAGTACCTTCACATACTGTGACTATCATAAGGTTATCAGAGTTATCGCGAAAAGCAAGGTTGAATTACAGTGAATGAATAATAATATTGTTTTAATGAAGTTATTAAGAAGTGGATTTGAAATGCCCTTTCTAAATTAAGTAATGACTAACGTCAAGTCATCTCGTTAAGATGTACCAAACTTTCTACTACCTATTGTATTAATGTTTTATGCAAATGTAAATTATCTCCAATGAATTTCATTGCGGATTTGAATTTAAAAAGGTCAAGGATGTTATTGAAGGGTAATTCAAAACTACATGTCTAACGAAAATAAACGAAATACTAAGAAAAGGATTTTTACATCCTTATTATGTTTCGCCACTTTACAAAATTAAAATTAAATTAAAACGTTTATAACCGAAAACGTTAAATATTTATAAATGTTTCATACACCTAATTAATTTAAAAGTAAAATAACTTCATGATCTAAAAAAAACATTAATTCCGCAAATTCAAAACCGATAATGACGCGATTTTTTAAGAACGAAACTACTGCGCAAACGCCCCCACTTTTAAAAATGCTCCATGGTTCATACCTCCGCAATGAACTAAGTGCTTGTCCGAGACTATTCAGATCGCGTTCTAAGGGAACTCCAACTGACAGTTCAGTTCGGTTCAATGTCTTGTAGTAGTATGTAGTTTGTGGCTGCCGAAATAAAAAGGAGAGAAGAAATGGTGCGCCATGTGCTCGTAATCGTTGTGCTTTATTTGCGGTTTTTAAGTGCAAATTCGTTCCAGTCAGAAACATTTAAAATCTCCGATACTCACATTCAGAACATTCTAAATTGTTCAAAACGTTCCCCGAGTGATTTTAGTCGATTTTCGTTCAAAACTTCCGGGTCTATTTATCAACTACCGGATGTTTGCGGCGAAGTAGATTTTAGTAACCTGAATTTTTTTCCAAAATGTTGTGCGCTGGGCTATAATTACGAATTGCAAAGACATCGTTGCATAAACGATTCTAATTCTACAATATTTACAAATATTTACGGTGATTTACAAGAGGATTTATTAGCGAGAAGTCATTTAGATTGTCCTGTTGTAATTGATCATATTCTCGAAGATCAACACGTTTTTAACACCACAGAAAACCGCGCAATTATTTTCAATAGAAATCTTTATCAAATCGATAATTATTGTGTAGATTGGGACGATTCAATAAAATCGAAAATATTACGAACATGCGAAAATATTGAAGCGTGTAAAACGAAAAAATGTATAACAAAATGTTGTAAAGAAGGAAGATCTTATGTGGGGACACGATGTATTTGGAATCCCGAGTTTGGGATTTCAGTGGTAAACAGCAATCGTTTCGAAAACCGTAAAGGTGAGTGATATATAAATTTATCAGTATTTACTTTTACCGAAATAACTCGATAACATTTAAACAAATAATTTTTGTGTAACATCGTTTTCAACACAAGCTTTGAAGTTTTAAAAACGTATGTACAAACACTATTAAAAGAAATTTGAATCAAAAATCTAAAGTACTTACTTAAAACTTTTAAAGTAATCTTTGAAGCAACATCGTTTTCAAGTAAATATAATCATTAAAGTTTTAATAATTGTGTAAAAATACGGTTTTCTTAAATATTTTCTATTTTAAACATTTACACAAACAATAACATGGAGGGCAATACATATGCATACTACGCTTTCTGTATAAATATTTAGATATGGGTTAATCTGAACCACAGTTTTCAAAATTTAGAAGAAATTAATTCCTATATATATTTATAAGAATGAATCAAATTGATATTGATTATTTTTTTAGTTAGTTTAGACTCGAAACTATTTCTCAAATATTAATAATACGATTTGTTTCCATAGACTACTTATGAATTTAACAAGAGGATGATAAATGTGGCTTTTAGTTTAAAATAACTTGCTACAAAATTGCCAAAAATATCTAAAAATTCAGACATAGGCACACGTGTATTATGGGACATGAACACGTTCAAATTTAAAGTTTAATGACAAACACTTGTTGCAAAAGCATGCAAAGAAAAGTTAAATTATTATACAATTCAAAAGGAATTGCGTTAACATAAATATTAAGATTTTAGCAGTCATATGTGATTTTAAAGTGAAAGTTTATATGAAACAACAGTCACTTTCGGTTAATGGATTTATTTCAACCGTTGATACAGATCTATGATTTTAGGGATTCGCCAAATTTCGTTACCGTGGCTAATGGCATTTTTGAGTTTCACACACACACATCATCCTAAAAATAGACGAAATGGATACAGTGCCCTTGAATATATATGTAGATGTATAAACAAATTTCTATTAGGGATTTCTGGTCCTAGTCGAATACGATATCTCAACATTATGAGTTTTTTTGATGTATTACAATCGCTCTGACTTAAATATTAAGCCTTATAAATCTTACATATTTATAATGAATAAGAAAAATATGATTTGAAATTATAATTTTCTGGAATTGTTCTTCTTCTTCTTTTAGCGCTACAGCCCGGGGTGGACCTTGGCTTCTTCAACTGTGCTCTTCCAATTCATCCGATCTTCAGCGATCCTCCTCCAATTTTCAATCCTCAGAACCTTGGCATCATCATCCACTCTTTCTTTCCACCTCGTGCGGGACCTGCCCCTACATCTTGTGCCTGCCATTTGTGCTCTAAAAGCTATGCTCGCAGTTCTTTCCTTTGGCATTCTGATAATATGTCCAGTCCATCTAAGTTTTTGTATTTCATCTGCTTCTATCAGTAGTCCAAATATTCTACTTTTAGTCTATTCTTGATTTATATACAGGCCTTCATCTTTGACTGTTCTTTCAATGCCAATAAAAATCTCCACAAGCCGCTCATAGCTTCTGGCTATTATCAAGACATCATCCGCATATACGTATATTTTAAATCACTTTACTTTCGAGGCCCCAATGGCAGAGTGTAGGGCAAGATTAAATTACAACATTTCGTATCTCAAAAACAACGGATATTCTTCGCTGCAGCGATACCACGCTCTGGAGTCTTCCATTGTCATCATTGCTACCTGTGCTAGTTTTCGGGGGATTCCCATTTGTCTTAAATTACACTCAAGCCTAGTCCTCTGTATACTGTGAAAGGGTTTTTTAAAGTCCATGAAGTGTAAGTCAGTGTTATACTCGTAGTATTTCTCCGTTACTTGATAAAGGAGGAAGATTTGGTCCATTGTACATCTTCCTTCCCTGAAGCCACACTGGTATTCACCCAGTATGTTCTCAGCACATGACTTTATCCACTCAGAGATTACATTCGACAATACTTTGCATGCAGCATTCAAGAGCATAATTCCCCTAAAATTGTCGCAGTTTGTTTTGTCCTCCTTCTTGTGTATCGGGCAGATGATTCCCGCTTTTCATTTCTTCGGCATACCTATAAGCTCCGTCCCAGCAATCTTCGTCCGGTGCCTTTCCATTTTTTATCTTCATTAGAGCTCTTGTTGTCTCATCTAAGGAGGACAGTTCTACCTTTGGTTCAGCAGTTTGTATATCCGTTTCCGAATTATCTGCTATATTTTCCACATTCAGCAATTCCGAGAGACCTTCTTTTCCGCAGTCAGGAGTGTACCATCCATGTCCTTACATATATTTCTGGAATTATTACGTTTTGATAATTAACTCAAGTGAATTGGTTATCTATTTATTTTTAATTACATTAGTGCATAACTTGAAACCTTTAAACCTACGCTAATCCACAATAATAGGTCTCCTGGTAATCATTTCATTACCTTTTTATCTTAGTTCATTTCTAATTTAGCTAATTATGCAATTTAAAATGATAACAACTTATCTAAGTCACACCTTTTTAGAAAGAAAGAAAAGAAAAAAAACGTTGAATAGGTTAATTAATTGAATTAGTTTAACGTTTTTTCTATGTGGTAATTCTACCTAATCTAAATGATATAATGGATTATTTTTACCCCCCACTTTGGTATTTTATGTTTCAATTAATTCCTTACAATAACTTCTAAAAATATATAAAGATATTTTTGGATTAATGGAAAACGTTTTGGAGTAAATAATAGTGTGTATATAAAAATAGAAAACTATTTTACGACATATTTCTGTTTTGAATGAAAAGGTTTATAGTTCTGACATTTATTATCACAAAGTTTCTATTTTTTGACCCACTCCAAATACAAAAATAAACTATAATATAAATTTAAATTTTTATTTTAGATGATTTCTACGGCATAATCCAAGCGAAAAAATGTCTTCGAATGAAAGATGATCCAACGTTCGATTTCACAATTAAAGCAAATGGGGATTTGCACGTCATGTCTCAAGGAAACTGGCTCGATTTTCCATTGGAAGATAAGCAATATTGCTTTGAGTATTACAAGACGGAGAATAAACACACCGTTTTTCTTTGCGGCTTCGAAAACAAAGGATCCGTTGACTATAAAATGTTCATTCAAAGAATACTAAATATTATATCATGCATATCGTTAGTTTTAACGATCCTTGGATATTTATTTTTGAAGGAACTTAAAAATTTTTTGGGCAAGATCATCGTTTGGTATTGCGGATGTCTTTTATTTGCATTATCGTTATTGACTTACGTACAGTTTCATCCAAATTTAAAAAATATTTGTGCGCCATTTAGTAAGTATTTATCAAATTTTCTTCTAATTAAATTCAAAAAAGTAATTCAAGAACTAAATAATACGTAATTTATTTCCATATTAAGAGATTATTGCTTCCTGTATTACTTTAACAATAGACTTGTTTCGGTTTAAGTGTTCAGTAGTTCCCAACTGTTCTGAACGTTTCTGCGCTTACGTCTAATGTGTAATATGTATGCGAAACTCTTGCACGAAAACAGGTCTAATATCTATTAAAGTTGTTACTGATTAAGATTAATTACTATTTTTTTGCTGTTTTTGGCTATCAAAGTTACTCTTAAAATAATCTTAGGTGTGAATCAATAAATAGTATTACGAATTTAAATTATATTTAAATATTTACCATTGCAGCCTTTCTCATAATATTTTTCTACTTGGCTGCATTTGCGTGGATGAACGTATTGAGTTTCGAAATATGGCAAGTCTTAGGGTAAGTTAATTTCATCATTGTATTGATAAGTTATTATTTTAATAAACAATATCGATAGATTTAGATAATTCAATTTAATTCTAACATGTTTACAACCAAAAAGATAAAGAATTATAGGAAAAAATTAATTCGTTTTGATAAAATTTTGTTTGACTTCGGTAAATAAACAGAGGTTATACACTTTTAGTTCAATTTATTGTAAAGTTGTTGATGTAAAGTACATATTGATACAAGCGCTTATTTTTAGATCTATGTCAACTCCATACGGCACGCAACTCTATAACGAAAGAAGAAAATTAATTTGTTATCACATATACGCTTGGATATTGCCAATTTTATTGGTGTTATTTGGAATTATTGCTTTTCGATCTGAAGATGTGCCGACGCATTTAAAACCGATTATTGATGAAAGGTATTGCTTCATGGAAACGAATGCTCACGGTAAGTTCGATGTTAATTAAATAAAAAATGTTAAACATTTTATTTTAGCAAATAATTACGCCTATTTTATTTTCTTCGCCATACCGGCGTTAATGTATATTTTGGCCAACTCCGTTTTATTTATCAAAACGATTCGTTACATTATACAGGTGAAGAAGGACATCAGGAACGTGATCAAGCATAATTTTAGTGAGAGGCAGAGACGTTTTAGTCTAGACAAAGAAAGGTAATTCCCAAGTTAATATAAACAGAATAAAACGAATTATTTATTTCAGAGTGGCAATGGTTGTACGAATATTTATAATAATGGGGTTGTCATGGTTGTTTGAATTTATTTTATCCTATCGAACGATTTTTTCAAAAAATATAGTTATAGAGATAATCGAATTTCTTTTCGACATATTTAATTGTTTGCAAGGTTTTTTCATTTTCTTAGTGTTTATGGCTAAAAAGAAAATATTCAACGCTGTTAAACAAAAAGTTTATCGGAGGCCATTACGGCGAAATAACACAACTGAAATTACGTTGAGCTGTAGTTCAAAATAATTCTAATTTATTAAAATCAATACGTGCGATTCTAGTCACTTGAATATGACCTTGTGTATGTATCAGATTTCGGTGTAGCTTTAAACGTTTTTTGCGCAGTATTAATTTATTTTTAAATAATGTAATAAATATGAAAGTTTATGGAGTTTGTCCCATTTCTTGTTGTTCTGCACTTAGCTCACTCTAAAAATATTAAATTAATTAAAAAAATAATTAATATAATTTTCTTACCGCAGATATCGAACTGTTTTTGACATCCTCCTGGACCTTTTTGTTCTTCTTAAATCGTTTAAATAAACGCTTCAATGTGTTTCTATTTAATACAAACACACAAAATATTAAAACGCCTTGTAAACAATTAAAAATATCAAAAATCTGCTCGATAACAGCCCCAACTTCATATTGTTTGAAGTTAATAACCGAAGATATCTCTTCGAATATCCAAGAAAATCCCATGATAAAGAAGAGTTTTGTTATCATTGCGAATCTAAAACATATAAATTGAATTAAAACGTTGAAAATTATTGAATATGTTACCTTTGGACGTCGTATTTGTGTATTTTTAACTTCTTTTTTTTCGCTTGTTGCGCTTCTCCTTGTGAATCACCATCAAGTTTAACCAGGTTAAAATGTCGCAATGACTTTATGAAAAAAAATGCGTTTATCGATAACATTATTGCTTGTGGAAGAACTGCGAATAATGTATGCCCATACAAGTTTTCTAAAATGTTTAATAATAACATACAGAGTATTTACAATCTTGTGATTTTATTTTTAAAGGGGAATAAACATCTTAAAAGAAGGTCATAAAATAGAATAACGATTTTGTTTTATATTGCCTTCCGTTTTGCTTGCGGTTACGATCTATAATTTCTTGAACGTTTTATGTCCCAAGGTGATTTTGATTATTATTATTATTATGATTTTGAGTAATTTCGTAATTATGATATTAATTGTAGAGTTTTAGCCGCAAGCAAGCTTAATGACCTTTTCTTAAGATGTTTACTCACAAGACTATAAACAGCCTTCATAAAAAAGATTATAAATGTTATCTTACGAGTAGTTCTATTTTCCAATATACAATGTGTCACGCCAAGGAAGGGATGGATTTCATCAGGAAGTACTCTAATTGTGTTGAAGAGTAACGTTAACATTGTTATAATCGTTGGAATCGTCCACCCATACAAATTATATTTAAGAAAAACTTTTTTTTGTTCTTCAATTGGAATTCCACTTTTTACCACTCTGTAATATTAATAAATAAATAAATGTATTAATCAATATAAATGAAATTTACAAACCCCAAAGTCTTCCAAATTTCATAACACATCACATTCATCCAACTAAAAGTAGCAGTAAATGAAAATAAAATTCCATATGCTAAAAAAAAATTATAAAATATATACATCCCACGTTATAATAATCTCACCAACAGGTTTACATGCAGTTCCTAAATTTGGTGAAAATTGTGCGAATGCCAATACGGAAAATGCAACGAACATTGTGCTACTATAGATGGTAACGATTTTTCCCATTAACGTTCGAACCTTTCCGATTATAATAAAAACCAATACGGTTAATAATAGACAAAAGCAAGAAACCAGAAGAACAATTCGACTAAGTTTAAAATGATCAGCTATACTATCTTGTACGCATAACAAAAAAATCGGCGAAGATTCGCTGGTACTACTTAGCATATTTCCATCGATGCAATACATTTCTTCGTTAATTGAATAGGTTCGTTTTAATTTAGTTGCGTTAATCATTACAGATCCATTGGAAGCTAAAGTTATACCACCGTGGTCGTAATCTCGGATGTATTTGGAACATGTTGAGGTGTTATGGTAAATTGCGAAAGAACCTAAAAAATATTTCGATTTAGAACTTATTATATTATTGGATTAAATTATCAACAAAAAAAGTTGAATTGTGAAAAACCATTTTCCAAATTGCCTATTTTTTTACATTTTCAAAGTTAATAATACTTCATTATTACTACTGATAGATTAACAATATCCATCCCCAACCTAACCAGTCTTAATTTACTTGATATTGAGCAAAGCCCATACTCTTACCCTACATATCTATGTGGGGGTCATTAACCTGAGTATAACCCAAGGTGGAAATAAGATCGAAATTCATATTTTGAGCATGACTCATTCGGTGAGCAGAAGAATTTGAGTAGTAAGCTCGAATGTCTAAATTTTTTAAGCGCAAACTCATCATCAACAGAATCAACAAATTCGTAAAAATTAATACATTACCTTTTCTTTTATATCCTAAAGATATATTCCTATAGATTTCCATATCAATTCCAAAAGTTGGATTTCTTATACACTTCCTGTTAATATATTGGAACCCATCAGGACAACATTTCTTAATACAAAAATCATGAGTGTGTGATAAACAATAATCTTTTTTCTTGCACTCGCGAACAATAAAATTACTCTCATTATAAACATGATCGACACAGTAATCACCAAAACTTATAATTTTATCATCAAATAATGCCTCTCTATCATTACTTATGTTTAAGGAATGACGAGACACAACATGATCAACAATCACTTCACAATCCAAACCCGTTTTTATCAAATTTACTTTTTCAACAAGATCACTAAACGTTTTATCTTCAATGCAGTTGTGTTTAAACTCATGATACATATACTCTGGTGGACAACATTTAGGTAAATAATTTAAATCTTCTGGTAAATCAATAAATTGAATTGGTACGAATTTTTTATCTTCCAAAAAGTAAAACTCCGCAAATTCATCGTTTTCTAACTTATTATAATTTATGTTCATTTTTGAGCGAAGTAGAAAATCCGTATAAGCTATTATAGGACATAACACTAAAGAAACGACGATATTATAACTTTGCCACCTCATTGCGATCGAACTAATCGTCGACGCTTGTTGATTGAGAAGGTGCTCGAAGTTTTGACGTCAAACCGTACTTTTTTCTCGTTTATAAGTTTCTTGTTAAACAAGCCGTCCTCGTAGTCGTAACTGTGAACACAAACACACACTAAATTTCAAACAACAAACATCTAGCCTTGCTTATAAGCGACTGGCGGATTTTCGTAAAGAACCGAAAACGATAAAGAACTAACTCGAGTGCAAATGTCAAGAGACGGCGTCTATAATCTTAAATAACTCGTCTCGCAAAGAATGACGCGGATTATTACACATTAAATCCGTCATAACTCCTAATTATCTGGGAAATTCAGGTTTTTTACGATGGTTGTGACAATGTTGAGGTAATAATACATAAGAAACGAGAAAAATACTCAATGACAAATAACTTGCGGAATGTTTTATATGAGTGCTCATGAATAATGATGGTCATTTAAATACCAATACTAGTATACATATTTACGTTGTATAGATTCATGGAAATATTGATATAAAACCAAAATAGAAAAATTTATGGTTCTCTGTAATTATATAAATAAGAAATAATAAACTTTTTATTGCATTTCATTATCTTTGTTGTTCGTGAGGCAACACATCATTAAAAATCTTAGGATAATTAATCTTTACATATCTCAAAACCTAATTGAGATATCGCAATGAAATAAAAAGCAAATTTACGTAGTATTCGACATTTCGAAGATGGTTTTTTCAAATCTTTGTTGGTGAATCACCATTGGTGTAATGTAAATTTCGTTTTACGTACTGTTTATGCATCGCATCACCCCCAGTGTATTGAAATTTATGCGCCTGTGCGACAAAAACATACATTATTATAAATTCGTGTACGCCCATTCGCTTTTACTTCGTTACCCGTCTTGAACTTAACACCACCGATTAAAAATCAGTTTGTGATAATTGTGCGGAATGGGGAGAAATAAAGTAAGAGTTTAAGAATTAATTTTTAATAAAGTAATAAACTTGTTATTATAACGAATTATAATTGGATGTTTTAACCCGACAATGAAGCAAGCTAAAAAATTGATGTTTTAGATAAAGAATAACGTTACACTCACTAAATTTCTTCTATGTTGATCTACTAACACTACTCACAACAATAATCTTGAACTTTTCCATAATGGATTTGATTACTTTCCATTTTAAGACGAATATCAAAAAAACAAACACACCTAATTAAGAATAATTTAAAATTACACACCATAATAGATAAATATAAAAAAATATCTGACCTTGAGAGCAATTAAATGTATCCAAAAATAATTCAATGTAAGTGGTGATTGTGTATTCTTTAAAACTGATTATTGACGAAATAATTTCAAAGCTCCAATTGATACCCATCACAAGAAAAAGTTTTAGTGCCATAAAAGTCCTAAAATTAATCATGTAATTAATTATGTTCTTTATTGGTATTAATTTACCTTTTCTTTAAGGCATACAACGCCTCCTTCTTTTCTTTCTTAGTATCACTCATTCTTCTAACGTTTTCTGTGGCTTCAATAATATATCGAACGGTTAAAACGAAAAATATTATATTAACAATAGTAGCATAAGTTATCGGAATTATAAAAAACAGGGTGTGTCCATAATTTCCATCTAAAACGTGATGAAATCTCATTTATAATTATTTTATTTTCTTCTTAACCCAAACCTTCTACTCGTCTTTCCAACAAACAGAATGAATCCCCAATATAAGCATGTAAACTTCCGGGAAAAAAACTGTATTTGTTTTCAAAATAACAAAATATTGTAATAAATGATGGAACTAACCAACCGTACATGCAATAATAAAAAGTTCTCTTCAAACCAGGTTTCTTGTTATTATCAACTTTTGATGACATCGATCTAGAAAATGAATAAATATAAAAAAAAATTCAAAAACAGATAAAAACTTCTAACTTGCTTTATTAAGCAAGTTAGAAGTTCTTATATGTTTTTGATTTTTTTTTATAATTTTCACTTGCAACATGGATAATTGGTTAAAATAAATATAAATTTTGATTTTATTAAATGATTATATTACCCCAAAGTTCTCCACATATCAAAGCACATAACTGTTAACCACGAAAATCCAGCATGAAATCCGAATAACACAAGAAATCCTAGCACTGAACAAGTAGGTTGTGGTGTTTCAGGATTAATTTGTACATAAGTCAATGTAGCAAATCCCATAAATTGGGCTAAACAATAAGAAAATACTATGCGATGTATAACTTTTTTCAATTTGTACGAGAAAACGTACACCATCATAGTAGCGATAAAGCAAACGCATGAAAGTGACATCACCACTCTGCTCAACCAATATTTAATATTATTTCTTTCTTCAATATTGTTGCACATGAGTAAATAAGGTGTAAGAAAATTGTTGGAAAGCCCCAATTCGAAGCAATACATTTCATCTTCAACATTGTACGTCTGCCATGGACCACCCACTGTATAACTAATAGAACCATTTTCGAAGATTTTTATGTTTTCGTGAGTTATATTTAGAGAATGTAATATACATTTTCTTTTTGGACTAAATATCGCAAAGTTATCTGTAAACAAAATAAGAACAGAATAGTATTAAGAATTCTAAGGACTAACACTAGTACTAGCACTAGAACTAACACTAGACCACCTATATCATAGATTTATCTAACCGATTTCGTAACTTCGAATTTATTTCAGAGAAAACTTGCAATATGGCATTCGAAACGCTAAACACTTTTTCAAAAGACGCATGACTTAACTCGAAAATTTTTAGTTCTACATCTACTGTTAGTTCTAGTTTTAGTTCAATTCTAAGTAATAAATTTAAACCTGTGAAATTAACTATGATATCACTATAATGTTCTGTGGGAAAACCGTATTCTGGTTGTGCATGGCAATCTCGTCCTATATATATTTCTCCATCAGGACAACATTTTTTCAAACATCTCAATTCTCGATTTCTGCAATATTCGGGACCATAACACAACCGTAAAATAAATTCCTTCTCATATTCGTTGTTATTATCAATAACATCCACGCAATATTTTCCCGACGCAAACGTTTCATTTTTGTATCGTATCTGTTTGTAATTTCCCAAGACACTTTTAAAATCGTCCAAAAGCAAAACATGATCTACGATGACTTCGCAATCTCTTAATCCGGATTTAATCAAATAGACATCATCAACGTTATTCATTCCCAATTCATTTATTATAGAGGTGTCGTTACTTCGAACGCATTTTCTTTCAACTTTTTCGTATTTATAATTTGGTGGACAACATTTTGGAAGGAAATGATTAAAAGTGACATTCTCTGTTACGTGCAGAACATTTCTGCGATTTATTAAATAAAATTCTGTGAAAGTTTCGTTCTCCGTCGTTGTTAAGTTCGGTCCGGTGTATTTAAAATAATTGGTACTGGCGGTAATTGATAAAATGAACGAAAAGAATGGAAGTAGAAATCCATGAGAAATCATTCCAATGCAAATTTAACCCTGTGTTTAAAGAAAAGGTTGTTTAAAAAAGTTGCTAATTTAGTAATTACTAATTTTAAATAAGTTGTGTAATATTTAAATTATTTAAATTTAAATGTATGCATAATTTATATTTTGGTGGCTCTTCGCCTAAAAGCAAGAAAAGGCTGATTGAGGAGCTTTATTTTATTCCTTTTTGAAATAAATTTAGAAAATTTCATTGGAAATTCAACCTTAAGCCAAAGTGTCCTCACTATTATACATTATAAACATCTGCATTTTTCGCATATTTGTAAAAAATTCTTTATATTTGTCATTATAAACACTAAATAAATTTTAAATTTCCTATTACGTATCAATTTCCGAAGGTTTTTTTCAATTACTAATCGCAATGAATATTACAAAATTAAAAAGGTACATTTCTAAGACACTTTTTTAAATAATTGTTTACGCAGAAATCATAATAATTCATCAAAAAAGTATAATTAAAAATTTAATAACTTTTAAGAAAGTGTCATGAAATTTAAATGAATTGTTAACAAAAAATAGATATTAATTTGTTTACTTACTTTAATTGATTGGATTTTACACAGACGTAAATCTGTATTCAATGAAGTTCACATGTATTATGGTGTTAGCACGTTATGGAAACTAAGAAGAGAATTTAAATGAGACAAAATGGTAAAGGACCAATCAGAAAACGTTGGCGAAACCAGGCATTTCTAGCTGTCCAAAAATATTTTGTACGTAACCTGTAAGATGGCAAACCAACATTAATAAGAAAAATTCAACTTAACAGGTTAACCTTGATGAATCCTTAGGATATTTTGTGGTAAAAATCGACGATAACACCACTTGATAAACGTGCAGAATTATTTACAGAAAAGAAGTTTTTTTTATGAATAAGGTTGCATCAGAAAAATACCCAATGACAAATATCTTGGAATGTTTTATATGAGTGCTTATGAATAGAGATCGGACTAAAAAGCACCAAAAACGCAGAAAAACGCACCTAAAAAAGACATTAAATTTTAATAAAAAAAGCATATTCCTTTTTTTTTAAATAAGGCATAAAATAAGCATAAAAACTAATAATGTAACAACATTTTATTTTCACTAAATAAAACAGGTCTGAAAAAATTTTTGTAAAAACTACTAAACCTTATAATCTAAAAAACATAAATTGTTATATATTATTCAAAATATATGTTCAAATCTAATTTTCTTATTAAAAAACTACTAATCCCCAAAACAACTAATTATTAAATGTTGTTCTAAATGTTCCATTGTAAAGTTATGTCTCCTATCACTTAACATATTCTTATAAGCCGAAAAACTTCTCTCACGTCGACACTTGTAATTGGTGCATATTTGTATTTTGAAATGAATGCGGGATTAATAATAGATTTAGCAACAATTTCACCCTTTAAAATGGATGCAATTTTTTGTAATGTATCGAATCCTTCATTTTTGCACAAGACGTCGTTTAATTTATTTATGATTATTTGGCCAATATGTGGTACAATAGATGTGCTGTTTCGAAATTGTTCAATCATCTGTACTGCATTAACTAAAGGTAAATCCTGCTTCTCAAGTGGCTTTATAGAGTCACTTACATAACTATAATTGGTTTTTATAAATGAAAAATTATTTTGTAATTCTACTTCTTTTAGTACAGTTTGGCAATCTTGTATTGCATTACTAGCTCTAGCTGAAAATTCATTTATTAATATTCTAAAACTATCAAAGGTATTTGTGTAGTATACAGCAGCATCTAACCAAATGAAATGATAGATAACTAAAATGTTTTGAAATATTCGTTTTTTAATTTGTAAATAGGAATATTTGCTTTAATCAGAGCTTTGCAAGGTCAAAATTGAATTTTGATTATTCAGTATAACCGGAAGTTGATGCCACAGATTGCATAGCTGTACTGATTGTTTGTTGTTTCTTGATTTGGCTTTCAATTAGTTTTAGTTTGTTCTGATGCAATGAAGTTTTGACATGCTGAATTATGTAGTATTTCTTGTCACATTTAATCTTTAAAGCAAATGCAGTGTCAATACATATTATAATTTAAGTGTAAATAATTTACGATTTTTGAACACGCTTGGCAGAACAAGCGGTTGCGTTCATATTTCAATTCTTTGTAATTTTTAATCCATTCTTCTACGGTGGGCTTTTGTTTCAGCATTGTACCGTAAATGCACTATAAACTGTCACGGGAACAACTTATAACAACGAACAGAACAGAAGCTAACTAAAAGAATTAAAGACTCGATCAATAATACGGGGAATCCCACATCAGACAGCATAGACGGAGAATTACATAGCACGAATTCGACCAGGGAACAAATATACAGTGGCGTAGTAACATTTTTTTTTCGCAATTAAATAAATTTTGGGAAAAAAAGCCGAAAAATGAAAGGAAAAGCTTTAAATAGGCATGAAAAACAATAATAGGCATAAAAATTCAAAAAAAGCAAAAAAGGCATAAAAAACTTGGTGTTATTATATTCCTTTTTATCTGATTCGTATAGATTTCTAATCAGATTTTCCATGCCTTAATTTTTAAGCATAGGCATATTTTCTATAAATCCGTTCTTTACTTATGAATAATGATGGATCGTTTAAATACTCGTATACTTACGTTGCGTTGTACAGATTCATGGAAATATTGATATAAAACCAAAATAGAAAAATTTATGGTTCTCTGTAATTATATAAATAAGAAATAATAAACTTTTTATTGCATTTCATTATCTTTGTTGTTCGTGAGGCAACACATCATTAAGAATCTTAGGGTAATTAATCTTTACATATCTCAAAACCTAATTGAGATATCGCAATGAAATAATTAAATGAATTGTTAACAAAAAATAGATATTAGGGTAATTAATCTTTACATATCTCAAAACCTAATTGAGATATCGCAATGAAATAAAAAGCAAATTTACGTAATATTCAACATTTCGCAGATGGTTTTTTCAAATCTGTGTTGGTGAATCACCATTGGTGTAATGTTAACTTCGTTTTACGTACTGTTTATGTTTCGCATCACCCCCAGTGTATTGCAATTTATGCGCCTGTGCGACAAGATCATACATTATTATAAATTCGTGTACGCTCATTCGCTTCTACTTCGTTACTTGTCTTGAACTTAACACCACCGAGTAAAAATCAGTTTGTGATAGTTGTGCAGAATAGGGAGAAATAAAGTAAGAGATTAAGAATTAATTTTTAATAAAGTAATAAACTTGTTATTATAACAATTTATAATTGGATGTTTTAACCCGACGTTGAAGCAAGCTAAAAAATTTATGTTATAGATAAAGAATAACGTTACAATCATTAAATTTCTTACCGAAGTTGATCTACTAACACTACTAACAACAATAATCTTGAACTTTTCCATAATGGATTTGATTACTTTCCATTTTAAGACGAATATCAAAAAAACAAACACACCTAATTAAAAATAATTTAAAATTAGACACCATAACAGATAAATATAAAAAGATATCTGACCTTGAAAGCAATTAAATGTATCCAAAAATAATTCAATGTAAGTAGTGATTGTGTATTCTTTAAAACTGATTATTGACGAAATAATTTCAAAGCTCCAATTGATACCCATCACAAGAAAAAGTTTTAGTGCCATAAAAGTCCTAAAATTAATCATGTAACTAATTATGTTCTTTATTGGTATTAATTTACCTTTTCTTTAAGGCATACAACGCCTCCTTCTTTTCTTTCTTAGTATCACTCATTTTTCTAACGTTTTCTGTGGCATCAATAATATATCGAACGGTTAAAACGAAAAATATTATATTAACAATAATAGCACAAGTTATCGGAATTATAAAAAACATGGTGTGTCCATAATTTCCTTCTAAAACGTGATCAAATCTCATTTATAATTATTTTATTTTCTAATTAACTCAAACCTTGTACTCGTTTTTCCAACAAACAGAATAAATCTCCAATATAAGCATGTAAACTTTCGGGAAAAAAACTGTATTTGTTTTCAAAATAACAAAATACTGTAATAAATGATGGAACTAACCAACCGTACATGCAATAATAAAAAGTTCTCTTCAATTCAGATTTGTTGTTATTACCAACCTTTGGTGACATCGATCTAGAAAATAAATAAATATAAGTTAAGTTTTAATTTTATTACATGATTATATTACCCCAACGTTCTCCACATATCAAAGCACATAACTGTTAACCACGAAAATCCAGCATGAAATCCGAATAACACAAGAAATCCTAGCACTGAACAAGTAGGTTGTGGTGGTTCAGGATCAATTTGTAAATAAGTCAATGTAGCAAATCCCGTAAATTGGGCTAAACAATAAGAAAATACTATGCGATGTATAACTTTTTTCAATTTGTACAAGAAAACATACACCATCATAGTGGCGATAAAGCAAACGCAAGAAAGTGACATCACCACTCTGCTAAACCAATATTTAATATTGTTTCTCTCTTCAATATTGTTGCACATGAGTAAATAAGGTGTAAGAAAATTGTTGGAAAGCCCCAATTCGAAGCAATACATTTCATCTTCAACATTGTGCGTCTGCCATGGTCCACCCACTGTATAACTAATAGAACCATTTTCGAAGATTGTTATGTTTTCGTGAGTTATATTTGAAAAATGTAATTTACATATTCTCTTTTGGCTAAATATCGCAAAGTTGTCTGTAAACAAAATTAGAACAGAATAGTATTAAGAATTCTAAGGACTAACACTAATACTATCACTAGAACTAACACTAGACCTACAACTAAAAACATTCGGGTTTAGTCGTGCGTCTCTCAAAATGGTTAAACCCCAATGTGTCTAGTTCTAGGTCTCATAAATTTATCTAACCGATTTCGTAACATCGAATTTATTTCAGAAGAACGTTGCTAAACACTTTTTCAAAAGACTTAGTTAGTTCTAGTTTTAATTCAATTCTAAGTAATAAATTTAAACCTGTGAAATTAACTATGATATCACTATAATATTCTGTGGGAAAACCGTATTCTGGTTGTGCATGGCAATCTCGTCCTATATATATTTCTCCATCAGGACAACATTTTTTCAAACATCTCAATTCTCGATTTCTGCAATATTCGGGACCATAACACAACCGTAAAATAAATTCCTTTTCATATTCGCTGTCATTATCAATACCATCCACGCAATATTTTCCCGAGGCAAACGTTTCATTTTTGTATCGTATCTGTTTGTAATTTCCCAAGACACTTTTAAAATCGTCCAAAAGCAATACATGATCTACGATGACTTCGCAATCTCTTAATCCGGATTTGATTAAATAGACATCATCAACGTTATTCATTCCCAATTCATTTATTATAGAGGTGTCGTTACTTCTAACGCATTTTCTTTCACCTTTTTCGTATTTATAATTTGGCGGACAACATTTTGGAAGGAAATGATTAAAAGTGACATTCTCTGTTACGTGCAGAACATTTCTGCGATTTATTAAATAAAATTCTGTGAAAGTTTCGTTCTCCGTCGTTGTTAAGTTCGGTCCGGTGTATTTAAAATAATTGGTACTGGCGGTAATTGATAAAATGAACGAAAAGAATAGAAGTAGAAATCCATGGGAAATCATTCCAATGCAAATTTAAACCTGTGTTTGAAAGAAAACGTTGTTTAAAAAAGTTGCTAATTTAGGAATTACTAATTTTAAGTAAGGTTGGTTGTTGTGTGAATATTTAAATTATTTAAATTTAAATGTATGCATAATTTATATTTTGATGCTATTCGCCTAAAAGCAAGAAAAGGCTTGATTGAGAAGCTTCATTTTATTCTTTTCTTAAATAAATTTAGAAAGTTTCATTGGAAATTCAACCTTAAGCCAAAGTGTCCTTACTATTATACATTATAAATACCTGCATTTTTCGCATAATTGTAAAAAATTCTTTGTATTTATCATTATAAACACTAAATAAATTTTAAATGTAAAATTTCCTATTACGCATCAATTTCCGAAGGTTTTTTTCAATTACTAGTCACAATGAGTATTAAAAAATTAATAAGATACATTTCTAAGGCACGGTTTTAAATAATTGTTTACGCAGAAATCATAATAATTCATTAAAAAAGTATAATTAAAAATTTAATAACTTTCAACAAAGTGTCACGAAATTTGAATGAATTATTAACAAAAAATAGATTTTAATTTGTTTACTTACTTTAATTGATTGGATTTTACACCGACGTAAATCTGTATTCAATGAAGTTCACATGTATTATGGCGTTAGCACGTTATGTAAACTAAGAAGACAATTTAAATGAGACAAAATGGTAAGGGACCAATCAGAAAACGTTGGCGAAACCAGGCATTTCTAACTGTCCAAGTATTTTGTACGTAACCCGTAAGCTGGCAAACCAAGCATTAATAAGAAAAATTCAACTTAACAGGTTAACCTTGATGAGTCCTTAGGTTATTTTGTGGTAAAAATCGACGATAACACCTCTTGATAAACGTGCAGAATTGTTTACAATAATCTTGCTGTCTGCTATTGTGACATTGAAAAGAAGTTTTTTTATGAATAAAGTTGCATCTATTGGTATTTAAGGAAGATCGTAATTTATCACTATTCTATTCTAACCCAAGCCTTTAGCATATTGCTATCTCTTTCGATCGGTCGTACAATAATAATATACAGGCTTTTCCATTGTGCATTATTATCTTAACCACTAACATTACACGTAAACAATATTCGTGGAAGGTTACTACTTAAACTATTTAGTAGAAGCTATTTGACCACATCAAAATTATATTTCATTATTAAAAGATTCTATGATTTTAATTAATAAATATATAAATGGGTTCAATTTTAATTTAAAGTAATATTTATGATTTACAACTATTTTCGTTCAATAAGTTCAATAATTGATGAGCTAAATGTAGCTAGTAGTCAATTGTGCAACGAACGTTTTGAAATCAGGGAGAGCCTACGTTAAGGCCTCATTAATGAGTTGCAAATATAGATCAAAATAGTACCAAAATGAAATGATGAAAAAATGGACGAAAAAACATTGTCTAAAAGAGCAATTACTAGTCAACTGGTCACAAACCGATCAACGGGAAAACCTCGAACGCAATGACAAGATAACATAAAAAGGGATGCTTTGGAGTTGTTTGGAAGGAGGTTAGGTTGGGGTTCAGTCTGAGTTGTAATTGCTACTATATGCCACTCTGGAAGAGGTGTTCCATCCTTATATGTTGTTGATAACAAGACGAGGTCGTTTGCAGCCGAGGCAGTAACTCGACATTTATCATTAAGTAGCTAGCTTGCAAGTGGGTGGGACACGTGGAAAAAATGCATGAAAAAACGGTGTCTAAAAGAGCAATTACTAGTCAACTGGCCACAAACCGATCAACGGGACAACCTCGAATGCGATGACAACATAACGTAAAAAGGGATGTTTTCGAGTTGCTTGGAAGGAGGTTGGGTTGGGTTGGAGCTTAGTCTGAGTTGTAATTGCTACTAAATGCCACTGGAAGAAGGTGTTCCATCCCTATAGGACATAGGTTGTTAATAACAAGCCGAGGCAGTAGCTCGATATTTACCATTATAATAAGTAACATAAATAAGTGCTAGCTTGCAACTCGAAAGCAAAAAGCAACCTCGGCTACAATCTAAATTCGAATTATACACAGTATACTAGTTATTTGCACCACAACATCTGTATTTTTCGAATTGGCACATCTTTTGAACTTCTCCTAGAACATCAATGCCAAGGTCACATCACATAATTTGATCTCTCCGATGACGGTAAGAGAATAACCTTGAAATCAAGATTGAAATCAAGTTCTCGCCCAAATAATACAGACATTTTTTATACTTTATATTGTATAAGCAACGATAACTATTTAATTATAATTGTATGGTTAGCACCCAAATGAAACTGTATTACAATATTTTGCAATAATATTGTTCTTATATTGAGGTTATAACTCGAGGGTTATCACGTTATTCGGAATTGACCCAAATATCAATTAAACCGCCAATTATCTGTTTTATTATTATTGACCCGTTACGATTAGACTTTCTTGGAATCCTGAATTAAAAACAAATCTATTTGCATCAAAAATAATACAAACATTATCATAAATAATTTTAAAGTATTACTATTTCTAAAATTAAAAGAATTTTTTTTGTCAGAATAGAGGTCATTGACAGCTGAAGATACGGCCTTTTTAACTGCATTTAACGGTGCCTCTCCCACTCTAAATCGAGAATATCCCTTCGGTTGTAATATACCTGCATGGCCCAACAAAATGTGCTTCACATTTAGTAGTAGTTGTGTAGTTATACGTAGTAACCACCGAATTTTGTTCCATCCTTAAAAATAAACGATATGTTCGTTCTATTTATCGTACCAGTGTTAATTAATCTAAGTTTCGTTTTAAGTGAAGAAGAATGTAAATTTCCTAATAATACGTTATGTGAATTAACGAAGTGTTGTCCATCCGGATTATCTTACAATTTTAAAGAGCGACGATGTTCGAATTCGCTCAATGAAACGGGCTTTAAAAATTGCGATGTTACAAGAATGCATTACGTTTCACAAGAAGAATTAATTGATCTCGTTGATGTTAAAAGCAAAGGAATTATTTTTAATAATCGTACTTTTAATGAATTCGACTACTGTTTAAGTGATACTTCCGAATCAAATCACTACGTTTTAAAATTGTGTTATCCGAAAAGATATTGCACAGAAATTGACGATAATAACAAATTGGTTTGTTTAAAAAAGTGTTGTCCACAAGGTCAAGCTTTCAGTTACAATAACAGTACGAGAAAGGGCGAGTGCACGAATATAAATAAAGAAGATAGATATTTTACATCTTCAATTAAACCGTATATTAATGGTGATTTTGGTAAATTACATATTATTTAAATAACAAAGTCTACAACAAGAAACATTCTGGTGATTCTAGTTCTAGATCTAATGTTAGTTCTAATTTTAGTTTTATACAGTGAATTTCACTTAAAATGCAATATATAAAAATATATTTCCATAGAAACAAGACCGTACCTACTTACTTGGTCCCACATAAAATGCAACATGTCTGAAGACACACGGCTAAACCCGATACTTTCTAGTTATAGGTCTAGTGTTAGTTCTAGTATTACACTATCACTAAAACTAACACTCGACCTAGAACTAGAATCATTCGGGTTTAGCCGTCTTGGGAGACGTGCGGCTAAACCCGAATGTTTCTAGTTCTAGGTCTAGTGTTAGTTCTAGTTTTAATTATTATTTAGCGTTAGAATGTGGTATATATTTTTGACGTTACCTTTTTCCAAGCAAAACTATTCCTTTACAAAACTACTCAATGCCTGTACTATTAAGCTATTAAGCATTTTATTTGTGACAGTGGAAGTGCATAGTATTTTCGTAATGCATTCATATATTGCGAGTTATATGAAATTTCCTTTATATTATTTGTTACAAACTGTCTATCTTTAATTTTAGATGATATTGCATTTATTCATAATCATATGGATTGCCCTAAATACATCGCTAATCGTAATGGCTCAAATCAATTTTATTTTACTAAAAATGGGAGTTTTTTCATATACGAAAAAGGAGGTTTAAATCAATACAATTTAACACAACAAAAATATTGTTTAGAAACTTTTTCTAATCGAACAGCGGTGATTGTATGTGCTTACTCGAACATAAACCAAACCAAATTTAAATATAGTAGACCTATAATGATTTTTTCTTGTCTGTGTTTGTTTTTCGCTGTACTTCGATTTATGTTTTGTTTCAAAACTATGAAACTCATGAAAAGAATGTTAGTAAGTTTTTGCGGTTTCCAATTGATCTCGTTTGGTATTATTACTTATTTGCAATTTGGGTTGTTAACTCCTAATAAAGCAGGATGTAAATTTATTGGTAAATTTAAACGAATTTAAAATATTTCTCCATTTTACTATGTTAATTTTTAGGTTTTTTGCATTTATTTACAACGTTAGGAACATTTTTATGGTCCAATGTTATAAGTTTTTCTGTTTGGAAAACTTTAAGGTAAAACAAAAATATTTATTGTTATAAATAATCGACTTTATTTTTTTTAGATCAATGTCATCAGCAGCTTACAAAGAAACCTCCGTAAACAAAAAGTTTTTAATTTATCACATTTACGTTTACACTGTTGCCATTACAACAACATTATTATGTTTTCTCGATCACACTTATCACATTTTCCCAAATAAATTTTATCCCGTTTTGGGAAAAACTCGTTGCATTTTAGAAAATTCCTTTAAAGGTAAATCTAGGAAATCTTATTTAGTAAAAACAAATTTATTCATTAATCTTTTTAGATGTAAATTATGGTTACATAATTTATTTTACGTTTCCAACAAGCGCTATTCTAGTAATAAATATGATTTTTTTTGCTTACACCGTCGGATATTTCGTAAATGTAAAGATGGGTATTCAAAGAACAGGAAGCGCTCGAAACGGAATTCCAACGAAATCCGTGGGTATTTTTAAAAACGCGTAAGATAATTATTGATTTATTACGCACTTTCCAAATTTTATTAAAAATTCGTTTCAGTTTTAAAATGGCTCTAAAACTATTCGTACTTATGGGTTGTACTTGGTTTTTTGAAATTGTATCATCTTTATACGATTTTAGCCAATCGTTTACATTGCAAAGAGTTGAAGTTGTTTTAGATACTGTAAACAGTTTACAAGGTAAGAGGAATTTTGTTTGAGTTGGATTATACTTAAATTTTTATTACAGGATTTTTATTATTAGTGATTCTTGATCATAATATGTTTGTAAGATTATTTCGAATGGTTTGCAGAGATAGAAGAAAACCACAAATAACTTCTGCTTCAATGGTTACTATTTAAGTGTGTTAGTTTATTTAATTATTTAGTATTTATTAAATTATTTATTCTACACCATCTATTGATTGCTTTATAAGGAAGTACGTTACAAAATCCTCTTTGTTAAAAAAAGTTTTTAGCTATTACAAGATAGATGGAGCTAAGAAACATAATTTTAAATTTGAACTTAAAACTTATTAATTCATAAAATAAATTTTTTTAACAACAATAATTTTCTCTGTTTTCTCTATTCTTTATGTATTCTTATTATCACTTAGATTCTTTAACAATGGTGTTCGATACGTTATCCGTCAATTCGGTCCACCCCTTGGTTCCTATTAACTTTCTGTCCGAAGAAGTGATGCAGGTCGTATCCAACGTCCCATGACCTTCGGTAAGGTCGAAAATCGGGCAGGGCCAAGTCGATAGTAAATAGTCCGAGACATTAGGTGGGTTGGATGGAGTAGTCAATAAAACTGTCAGTGCTGGGGCCGTAATTAAATGTCCCAGGGCATGAAGCTACTGAGGAGGTCTTTCGATCCCCCCGCATCCAGCCACCCGTGCTATCATCCTCTAGTCCCTTGTGGTGGATCAAAAATTAATACCGTCGAAACGGACGATAGGGCTTGCGGTTTTCGGGATTCGCCAGCCATCGGATTACGATAACGACGTTGTTAGAACGGATTTAGGTCTACGATCTTTCCTACTTTTTTTTCCTTTTCTGTTAGGTTTCCAGTTCGAACTCATAAATAATTTTTGATTTTCAAAAATACGTGAATATACATCGCTACGTAAATGTCAGCGTGATCCGTTAATGTAATATGGTCAGATTATAGTAATGAGTTAACACAATCGAATGTCAGTGGTTTTCCAGTTAACATGATCTCTCGATTTTGCGGTATCGTTCGCTGAATTTATAACAATAACTCGCTAATTCCGCTAATTTCCAATCATTGTTGAAATACTTTAATGGTATTCTATTTGGAGCACAATGTATTAAAAAATTGCTAATTCAACGTTATTATTATTAATTGGAAGAACACTTACTAATATCTCAACCAGTTATTAATTATTACTCATTCACATTGATAACGTATGTGTAATATATTAGCTCGTACGTTTCAAGACGTGAATTATGCATCTAAATAATTTGATGGGTCTATCTATATACATAGATCTAACATAGATGTTAAAGCTGATGATCTATTACATATCATCCTTATAAATCACTTCCTTATAAAATTTTACGTGCATACTTATATTACTTATAAAGGTAAACGGTTTACCTTTCCATTATAAACGCAATTATCTAGATTTAAAAACTTCTTTTAACCATCAAAGTGGAACAAAATTTAATTTAGTAAATGTATTGAGTTAAAAGCAGGTGTACTTGTAAACAAAATAACATGAAAAATTCTGTTAGTGTGAAAAAAAATTAAGAAAAATTCCGTTTGAGGTTGAACGGTTTGATTCGAGCGTGTTCAACTATTTGGGGATGCGTATCATTACTGTCTGATCATTATTCTCTCTTACTATGCTAATGTTTGGAGCTGAGGTCGTTTGCGGCCGAAACACTAGTTATGGGACACAACTTTTAAAGTCTTTTTTCTGGTATTTAATGAACTACTTAACATGTTGAAGCCGAGGTCGCTTGAGGCTGAAGCTTTTGATTAACATAATAATAGTTAATATCATCTTTCTGTTACATCAGTATCGTGTTAAAACCATGCTAAACAATGTGATATCGCTCGCAAATTCTCTTTACACAAATGTGTAGTATAGCGAATTATTAAACAATATCGTGAGACAGAACTTGTAGACTTGAAGAAAAAGTCTGGACGTTCCAGAAAAACCAATGGATGCCTTGATAGAATAACTGTAAGAACAGCTAAAAAATATCAATTTTATTCTTCAGCCAAAATTAAGGCTGAGGAGTTACAAAAAACACACAATTTGAAGGTATCAGCACGTACAATACGCAATAGATTAATTGAAAATAACTATTTGCCAAAAAACTTTTTACCTGCGAAAAAACCAGTTCTACAAAAAAAAAAAAATAAAACCGCAAGACTACTATTTGCACGCACGCATGAAGAGTGTACATACAACGAATGGAAAAAGGAATTGTTTAGTGATGAATCATAGGTTAACTTATTTAAAAGTGATGGAGTGCAATATGTGAGGTGTCCAATAGGAAAGAGGCTGACTTCTAAGTACATGCAGCGAACATTAAAACATGGAGGTGGTTCTGTGATGGTTTGGTGTAGGCCCTATATACACCGTATTATGGGAATAATAGACAGATATAATAGACAGATACAGACGTATATAAAGAAATGTTATGGAACCTTATGCCGACGAAAATCTGCCTATTTCTTATAAATTTCAACAGGACAACGATCCGAAACGCACATCTAAAGTCGTAAAGGAATGGTTTGAACAAAATAAAATATAAGGACTTAAATCTTATAGAAAACCTATGGAGAATAGTTGCCGATAAAATTCGAAATAAAATTTATAAAAATGGTGACGAATTGTTCGCTGCTCTTCAAAATGAATGGTCTAAAATATCGAAAAAACCATTAACAATTTAATACACCCAATGACACGAAGGTATCACGATGACATTAATAATAAAGGAGATTGTATTAAGTACTAAAAAATCGTTACTTTTTATTCAATTTAACTGTTATTTACCTATAAATTGTTAAGTTGTTCTATTTTTTTCCAACTCAACTTTTACAATTCTGTTTAATTTCTATAAAAATAAAGCTATCTTTGTCAAATTTCGGCTACACAATTACTACATAATACACATTGCCATAGTAATGTAAAACCTGACGAAAAACATAAATAAAATTTAAAATAAAAAAATTAAAAGTTGCTCTACTTTTTTCCAATACTGTATATTGGAAAGAATTCAGAGGAGATTTCTCAAATATCTCTTTCTACGCTTGGACGGATTATACCCGGATTGTGGATCGGATTACGCATCCCTGCTGCAACGTCACAACTGTTCTGCACTGGATGTGAGAAGAGATGACCAGGATTGTGGTTGGTTGTTGTCGCGGATCATTGTCGCGGTGCGTACAAGTACAAAACGTAGTACCTATATATATGTGTTTTATCTGAGGAATTGCAGATTCTATATTTTAGCCAACTCTCCTTTTGACTGAGTTTTGACGACGAGTTTTATATTTTCATTTTTCTCAATTATTTTCTTTTTTTGTGTACTTGTTCCACTTTAATTATAAACATTTCTAAACTCTTTTTGAACATCAACAAGGTATTGTTGTAGAAAGAAAGTTTAAAAGAGTCCTCGTGTTAAGTGTTTTAATTCTTGATGGAAAGCTTTTTTTGGATGTTTTTTAAAATCCTATTGCGCCTTACTACTATGTTCTTTCATCGCAGCCGCAGTCTGCGTAATTAATGAGTTATTCTTTTATTTATGTGGCAATGAATGTTTGTTGTTAATTTTCTCTCAAGTAAGGATTTTTGATAAAAGCAACATTAAACTATAAATTTCGGACCTCTTGAAGAGTTGCGTGTGTGGTCCATGCGGTTACGGGGGCAAAGAAGTTTTGCGAACGCACCCCCGCCGGTTGATGATATCGATTGCGTTGTTGCGCGCGCACTTTTCGGCGGCGTCGACGATGAGAGCGAGGCGTCGCGACGCGCACAGCATCCATCCCGGTCGGTCCCCGGGCTGGACCGCGCTCCGCAGCACCCGCAGTAGTAGTGTCGCGAGGACGACGATACGCGAGATTTGCGACCGAGGAAAATTCGTTCGCGAGGGCTCGCGATCTCCGACCGGACGCTAAGCGCCGTGGCGCCAACCAAGAACTCATACAAATGAATGATTACTATTTTTAAACGACGATCATCGGTTTTACTTTTTTTTTAATTGACTGATTTCTTTAACACTTATTGTTTTCTTTTTCATTTAAAATTGTGTGATTAATCATTTCTATACTTCTTATTCGAATAGTTATTGGATGTTGTGGGTTTTTCTTTGGATAGATCGAACTTACCGAGAACAAGGTAAGTTTTGAGAAAGTTTTCATCAATGAAAATTTAATCCGATTCTAATAAAAGTTTGAAAACTTATTGTTGTTGAAACTTGTTGATACAATATCCTATCAACAATTACCACAATTAACAATTATTATTAGCTATTTATTAAGTAGTGTTTAGTGAATCGAGTTGCTACCAACGGGGAAATAATTAAATTTGAATCAAATATTTGATCTGTTTCGCTTGGTAGAGCTGCTTATATGGACTTTGCCCGGTTGGCCCATTACATCCACATTACTAATTAATATTAAATTTGTTTCTGAAGCGATTTCTACAAAGATTTCAATTTAAATTCTGAACGTAACACTTCTACCACAAGATATAAGTTGAGACTTTACAACTTCATAGTCGTGATTAAGGGGGAGGTCGTTTTCCGTCGAGTTACTACATTAAATTTGTATTCAATATCATGTTCCGATATTAAAAGACTCAGTCACGATACTTTAATATCTGATGTAAATTTCAAAGAACCTCGGCCATGAGGTTGCTTGCGGCCAAGTTCAATGCTGACTACTACACATTATCCGATGGTGATATTCAAAGTTTAAACTTTACAACCTCAAGGGGTTGTATTTGAGGTAGTATTTATATAGAATTATAGGTAGGATTTGACTTCATTAAAAAATTCTTGTTTGCTCTTGATTCAGATTTATGTGTATGTATAATTTTATGGTATTTAATATATATAACTTTTTGTACCTATATCCAAAATCCAATACATCAATACTATTAATATGCATTGTACCGTTCCGCCAAATTACATATTACCTGTGTAATATTCAACCGTAACAATCAACTCTATTAGCCAATTGTCCAATATAATTATATTCCATATCTCCCCTCACAGCTATTGATTTATTGTTGGACATTTGCTATGAAAATTGGCCAGAATTGAAGTGATTCAATTTTAAAACTTTATTAAATACTCAATTTCTAGTGTTAATTAAGTTAATATGGTTGTTGGCGTGCAATACATCCAATTATGTATTGAAACTTGTTTGCAATGAGCAATGCACATTGCGCGCTTCGAATTGAATTTCCGATATCTGCACCGTCAGATTGTGAGGCATGTAGACCGCAGTACTTATTGCCATTTAATTACCCGCTGAAACCAGCGGAAATCGCGATTCTAAACAAAGCTTCAATTGTGATTTAACTCATTTTTGTGCGTTTTTATTAATAACACTAACCCTACCCACGGACGTCGTCACTCCGGAAGTCAATTACAAAGAAATTAAACCGGTCGAATGGCAAGCTTCAAGATTCGTCCTCTGACAAAGGAAATGAAAGCCAATTGTCGTGAATTCAGCGCAGGACGTAGCTCTTCAGGCGATTACGATTTAATCATGGCGCGCACTGAACGAGAGGGCCTTTGACTTCCTTTTTATTGCATTAGGCTCTCGTTGTGGTAAATGTATAAGATTCGAAATGAAATCAAACTTGAGTTCATTATAAGTAGAAAGTTAATGCAATTTTTTTGCTTAAAATCCTTATTTTTTATAAGAATGTTTCATCAAAGGTTAACATTGTTAAAGCGAAAGTATCACTAAATAATGCCTTAGCAGACCACAGGAGAATTACAAAGCTTCGTGAAGTTTGTGAATAAAGTTTTAAAAATTTACCACAAACTAGGTTTGCTTAGGACACCACAGTGGGTTTTAAGGAAGCCGTTTGAGTTCACGTAATTTGCCTGAGGCGGAATCCTCCTCAAACAACAGGCGTAATTTTGCTGTAATGTTACTTGAGGCAAGAAATTATAAAATTATGACTTTCTGAAATTGATCTGCATTGCGATTTTAATAAATTTCCACACTAAATATGAATGTGTTTGGGTTTTAGACATCCCTTTTAAACATTTCGTATAAGTATAGGACTTTACTCGATCTGGGTCACTTTTTTACGGTACAACGGCGCGTGGCTGACACGTGGCCTTCCCGCTGTCTGTCACCCTGCAGAGGCATTAGTTCGCCCTAGATTAATGGCCGCGTAATTGCTTTTTGGAGAGGTTTTAAAACGAGAAGAAAATGCTAGGGCGACAGGGAAATCTGAATTGAAAAATTGGACGCCCGTTTCAGGGCGATACGTCACTAGCGCACCAGTTATCCAATTGAAAACCCGGAGGGCCAGTGTGCGGATGACTGATGGACATAAGATTGCCGATATTTCACCGTGTATACCCAGCAAAACTAAAGACTTTTTGAAAACGAATTTAATGATAATGTATTTACAAAAAAAAGAGAGGGGTTGTCACGATAGTCTAAAAACGTTGAGAGGTAGTCAAAGCGAACGTTAAGCTTCTAAACTAAGAGCTCAACCTGTCCGTCTTCCACACGGCAACTCCTAGTATGCATCATTAATTATCTTAGCCCTAAACGTAACTTTATTACACGTCTAGCTTTTACTGCCACACCGTTGCTAATTTACCGTATATCTAGTTGAAACTAACTAAATCCAATTTCTCATCCTTCATCTATTTTTCAATTCAAGCGATATTCTTTTGTTGTGCAACTAATTGGTTAATCGAAAAGTTTGGCTTCCTTACCTCAATTGCTTTTGATTGGTTTCCGAATTCTTTAAATATTCTAGCACAATATCAACGTTTCAAATTGATAACAATTCTTCACCATCCGCGCCGCCTCATATCGTAATTCTTTTTGACGGAGCATAAGATAAAAGCCAATCCCAAAGACCGTAGCGTAGAAGTTATTCAAAAGTCCATCTTTGAAATATGTTAGAGACGTCGCGACGGCACCGAAGGTGCACAATACAGGCACACTCGTTCGGTTTTCCATCTCGCCTTCATAAATAATGTAGCACGTTCAATCCGACGCCCGCCATCGGTGGCGGCCCGGATTCAGTTCCACCTCTTTTCTCGTTTTTCTTTTGTCGTTTTCTCTTGTGTTCTACGGCGCACGTGGACTTGGTCTACACTTTCCGGAAGATAACAATACATCCTCCGGATGAACGAGAATCAATCACGGACCGCACTATAATCGCCCGGTGAGGATTATGATTGCGACGGAGGACAAATAAAAGATGAACTAGAAACGAATCTTTGTTTATGTGCAACGTGAAATTCAATAACTGGGTTTGATGCCTTTCCGGAATACGGGTATCTTTTTATAAATCGGTATGACAAAGATTTCTTGTTTAAGTGTTCATCCGGATTGTATCAATGTCAAGTTGAAATTTCATAAAATGAAATAGAAGTGCATTCTGTTGTATTAGATTAGAATTCTGCGCTTTCGTTCACAACATTTGATTGCTTCAATGTTATATTCGTAGAGTATTTTCTTTCTATGTTAAAGAGTTTCGGTAAGGAGAGTTTTCCTTTTGTTTGGTGAAGATTTCATATTTCTAGCTCGGTTTGTTGTTTTCCCGTGACTGTTCAAAAGTGCATCATTACTTAATGGACACACTGTGTATAATTAACGTTGCATAAAAGAACATAAATTTGTTATTTAATTAATAAAATAGATTTTAATTGAAAAATAAAATCTTGCAAATACACAAGTTTTACGCGAATAAATTTACCAAATTACTTATTAAGCTCCATGAAATAGTTTTTATGGCCATCAGAAGTTTTAACTACAGGAAGTTATTAAAAGTTTTAATGACTCGCAGCTTTTATTTGCCGCACCTCGAATCATTGATACCGGGTCGTAGTCGCGCTTCACTATCGACTCACTATTTTTTTCTTTTTATAAATCAATTTTCAGTTCGAAGTTTGTATTGCTTTATTTCGCAACGTAAACTTCTATTTTAGAGATTCACTTCGATCTCTTTTTCCAGGATTCTCTTTAAGTTTTCTCGTAGGGCCGTCGAGTTGCAGAGTCGTGTACCAGTCGGTGACACGTAATAAACTTTACGGCCAACCGCGTCGAATTTTATTATTGCATTTTGCAACGGAATTTAGTACTCTCTGTAAAATTTTTACGGCACTCTCTAATGATCGTCGAGTTAACCGAAACGATTTTGGACTCCGCAAATTATTATTAACTCTTGATTCGTATTTTCATTGCGCGACTGTACAAAGTATTTGTACGTCTTTTTGAATTAAAACTAGAAATAACATTAGCACCTCTAGCTCTAAATAAGTTTGAAATGATGAAATCGCTTAGATTAGTCTCTGGGACCTAAAACTAGAAACACTTGGGTTTAGCAGTCTTGAGTATTAGTTCCAGTGATAGCGTTAGATGAAGCTAGACTAGAAGTCATAGTTGTAAGGCTAGAGTTAGTTCTAGTGATAGTGCTAGTGTTAGGTCTAGTTTTAGTCCAATTAATATCGACCGTGAAAGTCTTCCTAGTTATATTTATACGTCCTCTGACAAAAGACGTAATAAAACGTTGGTCCGCTACAATAGTTGGGATATAAATAATGTTAGAACTAGTGGATTTCGTTGTATTTCTCCGGTCGTAACTTGGGCATTTACTGCTTTATTCCCTTTTCAGATTTACGTACTGATTTTATTGCCTTTTTACGTACGAATAGTGCGTTAAATTGATATAAAACTTTGGATCGTTAAAAATAAATTAATTAATATTGATGAACTGTCTGTAAAAATGCGATTTATATAAGCCGGAGTCATCCATTTGTGTTGGTTCAAAGGAACTTTTCTTCTATCCCCCTATCGATATCGCGTTAAATTCATCGCATCCATTGTTCAAATACGCAGGAGCGTCATTGAAGGTTCCCTTGTGGCAGGAGGTTCGTGCAGTCGATAAGCCTAATAAATAGCCGGCATTTATTCGACAGGGTAGTACAGCCCTTTTTGTCCGCAAGTGCTTTGTCTCCCCACGCCTATGGAGAGTTCTCTTCAGCGGTAACCCCTTTTGTTTTTCGTCCATCGATAACGTGCCAAACGGACAGTGTTAAAGGGCTTAGCTAATTAACTTTTTTTCTTCTTAATACCTACACTTCGAAGAATTTAATGGTGCGAAAATTTCGATTACCGTGATTAACCGGA